AGTTTCGGTTCGGGTACATCCGAACATTGCTGTGTTTGTGGTATGAGCTGTAAGGCACGGGCAACTGTTGTTAGACGTTCTTGACAAGTTAAAAGACCAACATAACCTAATTTAATTCCAGGTAGTAAGTTTGGGTCATTGTTCACCATATCCACAGCGTAATTCCACCCTCCTATTTCTTTTAACGTACGTAGGTTGCGAGCTGCTGTGTCACTACACAGGGCTTCTTCAGAGAGAAAAACGCCAAGGTAAACGTCGCCTTGGTGTATATAGACGTCATCGTATTTCCATCCAGTTAAGTATAAATCTGACGCGACGGCATCTAAAACTAGCAAAACTATGTAACAGCCTGTCCAATGCACCATGTTTTATGTAAACCTGTATATTATATAATCTCACTAGACTAGATTATATAACTCTATAACATATATGAGAAACAAAAAATCATCTTTCGTCAAAACAGAAATCCATTTTCAGTGTCTTTTCGTACCTCCCCAAAAAATGGATGTGAAAAATGTTCTCTCATCATTCCACTTCTGTTTAGTAGGGCTTTTGCGATTTTGTCTGGTAATTAAATTACCTAGGCTCGATACTCAAGATCAAATGCATATTTGGAGAAGTTCATTCAGGTTTTATTTAAGTTTACGTCAAGAAGAGATATTAATATTAATTTTGTATACATTAAGCAAATTGAAAAAAATGAATAACAGACACGCTAAAGGCAAAGAAGAGGAAGTCGCAGATGCCGATATTCAATAAAGCTATTATCATTGAAATTTTGTCTATTAGCAATTCGCTATATATCAAAAACAAGCAATAAATCTGTAAATAGGGAACCCTGCATTTTCAACGGAAATGGTAATGTTCTCTTTGGACGTATATTAGCTTTTGTTTACTTTAATTCATCCTCTGACCACAGGGCTTCAAAATCCAGAATATCTTCTTTTTATCTTATTTTGTTCTATAATTAATCTAAATTTAGTTATGTTTTACAAGGATTATTATCAAGGGTTAACATAAATAGTGAAATAGAAATAAATAAAGGTTTTAGGTTCAAAGTTCTCCGAACCAGCATTGAAAATAACAAAAAATGAAAATACACGAAACACTTAACAGTTATCAGTTTGGCAGTTGACATTATATTTAGATTATTCTAATTTGCTCGATTTGTGTCTGCATTTGATCAAGTCTCTCACGTTACGTATCCTGGAGGTATGAAACACGGAGACACAGGTGCTGATATAGAGTCGAGTAATTAGATGATGGTAATGTACCAGATCATTTAAAATTTCCTTTATGATATGAAGATGAAAAACAACCAACAAAGCATAGTAGCATAGCACGTGTTTTTGGGTTGCATATCCTTTGGGAGAAGTATTTCTTTTAAACATATTCACTATTTTACAGCATATTCACTGTTTTATGTATGTCGTTATGGTTGGGAATGGGGAGCAAAATCATATGCATGTTATTTATGTATTTTCAAACTTCAAGGATCAAATAATTTTACTTACCGTGATTTCAACAGTAATAGTATGTTATCAAACAATTAATGATAAAACTTTTTTAAGTCAAACATAGTAAAATACATTATTCAAGACAAACCAGTATATTAAACCTCTTTCACACCACCACTGATACATATGGGCAAATTTACGATAATTGATATTTTTTGAAATAAATGAATTCTGCTATTCTACTACATCCTGCGCCATGTGTATTTTTTATTTTTTTTATTTTTTTATTTATCATGTTTTATTTAATACAATAATATATGTAAAAAGAAAATTTCCAAAAAGGCGACTTTGTTTAACATTATAAGTCGCAGGGTTAATTATAAAATTTTATTTCAAAAAACAATCCAATTGGTGAAGCAAATTGGTTAATAAATTAAGCATAGAAGGTTTGATAATTGCTGCTAACACTCAGACACTTACACACTTCTGGAGGAAAGAGGCACTAGTTTCAAGAACAGTTATGTTTGTAGCGTAGTTAAGTTTTGAGCTGCCAAAAAGAAAGAAATTCAATTTCTCTTGTTGGGTCTTAAAATTCTTTTTATATTGGATTTCAAGGTTATTTAGTTTAATTTCGAAGTCAGTTAGGAGGATCCTACGGAGTCTGCAGTTAAAGATGACATGCTTGGATGTTTCACTTTTGAATCCACACTTACATTTTGGTGTATCAGCTAGAGTAAAGTTGTGGGCATGAAAATGAGATTGAAAAATCAAGTCGAATCTAGTCCTATTAAGACTGATTTCCTCTGGTCTAGGTAAATGCAATGAGGTAGATGATATGATAGGTTCTGGATAAATGAGAAGTGTCAATTTAGATTTGAAAGTACTTTCTGTATGCAGATGACACTTCTCTTTCTCAGCCCTTCAGCCATGATAATATGCCTGAATGTATAAACACCCTCCAATCTGATCTAAATTCTATAAACAATTGGTCTGATAAATGGCAATTAAAATTTAAACCCTCTAAAAGTGATGATCTGACATTTAGTAGTCCAAAAAAGAATGAAATAATAACCCCTGACCTAAAATTGGGAACTGAATCCATACCTAGGTGTGCTTCGCATAAACACCTTGGCTTTATCCTTGACTCTAAATTATCTTTCAATTTCCACATTACCCATCTTGCAAAGAAAATTGATAAGCTTTTAAATCCACTTAAAGCATTAAGTAAAAAACTTAGTGGAAACCATCTAAATCTTATGTTCAAATCTTTTATCTTACCACATTTTGATTTCTGCGACATCCTCTATGTGTATTGATATCAACGACATTATATGTGTATTATAGTGATGTCAACACAACTGTTTACCATGACCATGCGATGTATATCGAAAATACTGCTTATTATTTCTTAAAAACAGCTTTAATGGTGATTTTTTGACAAAAATCAAATTTTGTTATGGAAACTCGGACAACATAACAAAATATGCATCAAGTCAGTCGATAATTTCTAACTGGTTAATAAAATATGTTTCCGACCATCTCTCAAAAGTGGCTGTTTGATATGTAGTACTCGTTAAAGAATAACACGTTTCATACTGTCCATATGTTTTGTATCCTCCAACACATGCTCAACATATTCAATTTACTAAAAAATTCGATAAAATTGAAATTTTATATAACAATCATGTAATTACTAAATCAAATTAGTCTCATTTCTGAAAATGATTTTTGAAATCACATATGTGCATTGATGAAATCTTAATGTTTGGAGGATACAAAATATTGGACAGCAAAACCTAAATCCACCACAAAAATAACAATATCTTGTCTGATGTTTTCATTGTCTGTCATTAAAGAGGTAACCCTTAAGGGCACTTTCTCGCGAAATCTTAAACAAATGATGCATCAGCAATGTTAATTTAAACAGTTTCTTGGAAAAATATTAGACAAATGGTATATGCATAGAAAAAGTATTTTATTGCATGGGTAACACACATCTAACATCAATGATGTCAAACATATGTTTGTGCAGTTTGGAAAATATCAACGCAATCGATGCTCTGTATGTGCTGTAATCCGGTTTTTGTATCACCACAAACAAAACACAACTTTGTTTTTTGACAAAAAATCATCCATTAAGCTGTTTTTGAGAAATAAGAAGCAATATTTTCAGTATAAATCGCATGATTATGATAACAAGTTGTGATGACTTTAGTATAGCACTCATCAGATGTCGCTGGTATCAACACACACGACGTAGGCTTTAGTAGAACAATTGATTTTGAAAATATCAATTATTGTTGCCCATATACGTAAAACATAGATGTTTGAACTTGGACCTGGTCCAAGATGTGATTCATCTCACTTAATTCTTTTACATAAATGTTAATGATAGAACAAGCGTTTTAGATATTCTATGTGATTTGTTATGAACAGTGTAACTTGACTTCTAGAGCTACCCATTGTAATTATTGAAAATGAAAAGACAGACTTGTAAATCCAATGACTGATTACATAATAATAACAGGCAAATGATATACTCAGTAAAACATAGCATTTAATTATGATTTTGAAAATTACAAGGTAAAACAAAAATTCTACCACAATTAATATAAGAGAATTAGTCAGCGCCTGCAATTGATGTTCGTAAGTAATGCTATTCTCAACAAATACTCAAAGGAAGAGACAATATCTTGCATTTGTATTATTTGATAAAATGTGTAAATAACATAGCTTTAAATTGATGTAGTTTTGGAAAATTGTTAACTAAAAACGAATTCTAATAGTAAAAAGTATTGATCATTTGCAGTATTCCATTTCATCAGGTCTTTCTGCTTTCGAACTAGATGTGAATCTAGACAGGAATGATAGAAGGCTGCGATATTCCACGGTAAATATTTTATATTATTAAAGTCCATATAAGTAACAGAGTTCATAGAGTCCAAGACCACATATTGCCAATCAACCTCAATAATCAATATGACCATTGATGTTATAATTTACGGCCACTTTTCTGTATAAAAAGTTATAATTCATTACGGAGCATTTATTGCTGATTTACTCATCTTCTCTCCTTTAATTTCCCTAATGAAAATTAGCAATAGATGTGCACAACAAAGCGTTTATGAATCATTTGGGTCTTTTACATACAGGGTATTAAAATCAACGTCGTGAAATATGATATTTTAGAACCTCTATGATAATCTATGATATCAACTTTTATTTATTAAATATATACAGGTTGTGTCGAATGTAGGGAAACTATATGGCACGAGGGATAAAAATATTGCGATTGCAAAAGGTCAATAGGACTTTTCCTATATGACCTTTGAAATCTCGTTGAAGTCTCGTTGGTGAGATTTTTGAAGATTTCTCCATTTAACCACCAATATGTTTAAATTTAGAGATCAATTACATGACACGTCCAAGAGAGTGGTATTATATTGGATAAATACTTTATTTTAAGTTGTTATACAGTAGGCCATCTTACTAAATTCGTCGCTTAGTAAAACCTAATATGTAAATACGTTTCCCGTCTTTGTCACATCTGAAGTGTCACTTGGATCGTCCTTTTCCTACTTTACACAACATGTATTTTGGAAGGCCTATAACAACTCTAACATCAAACTATTTGTCAATGAATTTATGTGCGATTCTTTTGTCTGCAGTGCTAAAGCATTAATATTTGAATTCTGGTACAGATAAGCATTCCACAAAAATGCCACTTTACAAGGTTTTATCTGTGACAGTTTAGTCATAGCACATGCTCGAATGGCAAAATACAGAAATCGGTTGACGTTGTTTTACTTTTCCATCGATGGGATGGTTGCTGGCCTCCCGATTGGCTTCAACGTTATACCTGATCTTGATGGTCCAGGTGGAGGAGAGACGTTTGAGAGATTTGTTGCTGGAGTTTGATTCATACTGGCAACTGTCAAAAACGAAGGTGTAAACTTCATATGATCCTCACTGATATAGTAGATAGCGTAAAGTTTTGGTAGGAATAACACCAAGAGAGTGACAGAGGCGTTTAATATGAGAAGAGCTGATAGAAGGGTGGCTTTGTGATATGCAGACGATGCAGTGAAATATGTCGGTAAAAAAGCAATCCACAGAAAAAGCGTTGTGCTTACAGAGAAGAAAATAAATCGAGATTCATTGAAGTTATCTGGTAAAAACCTTGTTTTGAAACCATAATATGAGCAAATGATAATCAAGACAAGGTTGTAAACCAATGGAGCGATCAGACTTTCAAGGGGAATCCAACATAAAAGTTCCACAAACTTCTCCGTCAACACAGGTTGGTTTCTTGTAACAACAGGGGGCAGCACTGCTGTGAGACAGACGGAAACCACGATCTGAAAGTTAAATGGAGACACATTTTCCATCTTGTCCAGAATTGAGTTGGTGCTCGTAAAGAAGTTGGTCAGCCATTGCATTGAGAATAATTCAACTGAGTAGCTAATCAAATATGTTATCTATAGATGCGACCAATTAATAATTTATATCATATTGATAAGATAAATTGAATCTGATTCTTCTATCATGCTCTTATGATTTACAATAAATATGAAAGTAAGGTGTTTGTTTGACATAACAGTTTAATCAATTATTCAAAAGACGTTCAATAGGTGCGAATTTAACACAAAAATCACTTTCTTAAATTTTGAATTGAGGCCCCCTTGTCCATACATCACAAGTCAACATGATAACAATAGGCAGGACATATAAGCCAATGAGTAAATTGTCCATGTTGCTTTTCAACGGAAGTGATATTTCTCTAAATTACCGACTTACAGGGTGACCCAAAAAATGCAACCCTCCATTTCTTCAATATTTTTCTTAAATGGAGGTGAATTGCTCTGAAATTTGGCACACACGGACTTCATTCAATGTGGGATCCTCTGGCAAAGTTTCAATAATCAGAGTCTTATATTGATAGAGTTATGGTCGTTCCAAAATATGCTTCAAATGTCGTCCATTTCCAATGTTAGGTTTTCGGAAGAATCACATTCCCTTCTTTCTGAACATGTAAACTCAAGAAATAATGTGTTCTGGGATCGCAAATTCAAGATGAAGTGCTTCAAAGGCCCCTTCATTCTGTTAAATGCATAGCTTGGGCTCCCAATTTCCAAACATGAAATTATCAGCCCCTTTTGGTTTGAGGTTGATAAAGGCAACACTGTTACTGTTAACACACAGCGCAATATTGGCATTCCCAGGAAGTTCTAGGCAGTTCTAGAACGACATACAGGCTTCAATAGACAAGAACAGTGATTCTAGAAGGATGGGGCTACTCCTCACACTTCTTATGATAGCATAGCCTGGCTCACTAGTCATTTCTATGATGAGATTATCTCTCCTAGGATGGAGAACCCATGGTCATCCCACAGTCTTGATCTCAATGCCCCTGACTTCTATATATGGGGTTATTTAAAGGATAATGTGTATGAAAATAACCCTACTGCAATTGCAGAACTCCAACAAGCATTCCTGCAAAAATTTGAGCCATACCCATGGGGAAGAATGCATCCGTGTTATAAACAGTTTTCCTTGAACATTGCAAGTTTGCTTTCAGCGAAATTGACGATATATGGAGCATATTTTGAAACAACCATAACTCAATCAATATAAGACTATCGTTATTAAAACTTTGCCAGAGGATCCCACATTGCATGAAGTTCTTGTGTCCCAAATCTCAGAGCAATTTACCTCCATTTAAGAAAAATATTGAAGAAATGGAGGGTTGCATTTTTTTTGGGTCACCCTGTAAATGTTTTATATGACTTTATGTTCCTTGGCCAATGTTTTAAAATTTGAACATTTGATTCTAAACAAGAAAAACCTCAGAGGATACCTTCATAATTGAAAACATCATTCTAATATGCAAGTAATGTTTAGGTCATTATGAACATCACTTGATACTTATAAAAGCTACCTAGACACACCTAATCTAATGATTGTTTTCGGAGCAATATAAAGCCAATATTTAATGAGGTATAGGCTTTCTAGCATTGTTAACATGACAATTGTTGGATAATCATCGCTCCTTTGCGGGGATTTTATCCATCAACATGTATACCTCTATCTAAAAGGAAAAATAATGCCGGAGACAATATAAATTACGAGAAATGTTAGCTTGACATATTGTCATTGTGCTAACTCCGCTTGGTTTATATTTAGTTTTCTTTCGGAAGGGTCATTTCAATTCGAATATTTACGCCGGATGAAAATAAGACAAATAGAATTCTGAAATAACATCTAATCTAATTTGACGTTAGATCATGGTTTTGGGCTATATGGGGTTTGTTTTTCTTGACTGGTATGCACTTAGAGTTTTCTTTTTCTTGCTTAGTTCCATTACAACTTTTGAATCCTTTCCCTTTGGCACTAGTGCTTATATATTTAACTTAAAATGCTTTAAAGATGTGTTTCAAATGGATAGCTATCATTTGACCATTTTGATGTTTTTGATGTCTGATGTTTATCTAAAGTTGTAGCTCATATTATAAAACCAAATACCTGTATCAAAATAAGCACCGCTGTAAATATGACTTGCCATCGAGATGACATAAATCTGGGTCGATTCATCTTCTTCCCACCATCGAAAATCCTGAAAACCCTGTTGGTTTTGACGACCATTGGAGCATAAGCAAGAGATGAGCTTATATGAAAACCGATGCAGCTGAGATAACAGTTCATAGACTCTGGTTTGGAAATGATCATGAATACGGTCATATAGGCAAGCATCGTTCCAAACAGAATGAAAGAAGTAAGTTCTTTGTTTGAAGCTTTCACCAATTTATGTTTCCGGTTCGTAATGAGCAAAATTGCTGTTATGGTGCATATCAAGAGTCCGAATATGGTAAGCGTACTCATCAATATGGCAAGAGAGTCCTTATATTGTAAGTAGTTAGATGGTATATCAACGCAGTATCCGAATGTCAGCTGGTCGGGCCACTTGTATATCGGGCATTCTTTACAGGTACTAGCATTGTTGGTTGTTATCTCGTTAGTGCGGCACTTCCTGCATTCCCAGCAACATTTCAGTTCCTGTTTAATATAAAACTCTCCTGGTTGACAGGGGTAGCTGCACATAGACTCTGGATACACATTTTGTAGTTTGTTGTGATCTGTGTGATGGTGCCATTTCAAATTTGAATCGTTGATTTTCAAATTGACCTGCATTTGTTTATCCCACATTCCTATCTGGACAACACCTTCTCTTTGTCGATCATTTTGAATCTGAGTTATCAAGTATCTACCAAGAATATCACCAAACGTGTCAAACCTTATCCGACCCCAGTTGCCAGTGAAGTTAGAATTTAGAAGATACCATTTGAAGATCGGTCCCTTTATGCATGTATCAAGTAAGGTCGTATCATTGAATGCAAGGGGACATTCGTTTAATATGAGTTCATGCAAACCATGTGCAAATGTATTTATGGTGTCCAGTAATGACGAGGCCTTCTTACCATAAGACAAGTTTCTTTTAGCTTCATATAACCTCGAGTCTTTCCTACAACGTGTTGCGTTGACAATACTTGTGTTAAATGAGCAACGAAAAGTATTCTCCCATTCGTCTTCGATCCATTTCTGCCAAGATGGATGCATGGTGGGAAAGTCATTCAAATTTAAGGATTTAATGAAAGTCTCTACTGCCTCATCTGTTTCAGAATACAACTCAATTTTTATGCTTCCGACCATTTGATGCATACCATCTTTTACACTGTTTACACCATCGCTTACAACCCAAATGAATTCATTAGAGCCATTTGATCTCTTGATTGCTCGAAGGACTCCTTTTAGATCGGCAGACATTGCAAAGACTATGACAACCCTTGGTCTATTGTGCCGCGTGAGGCCTTTGTAGACATCATCAAACTCACCTTGCGTCATTGAACTATCGATCACTCCGCTATATTCAAGACAAATGTCATACATCTTTAACAGCCTATGAACTTTATTGATCCCATTTTGTCCATAGCTATCTGGTCTGTGCAGTGTAGAAACATAAGTCCACTTGAAATAGCGAAGTATGTCAACAATAGCCTGGGTCTGATATCTATCTGGAGGTGCAACACGCATGAAGTATGGGTAGAGGTCTTTGTTGCTTAGTTCATCACTAGTGGCCACATCACTTATATGAGGGATTTGGGCTAAGCTTAGGACTGGGGAAACCACAACTGAGGGTTGACTAGCCTTTGGTCCAAAAACGCCGACAACCTTATAAAAATGTTGGTTGTGTAGACTCGGATATGTTTGCTCCTGAGTCTGTGGCACAAATTGAAGAGCACGTGCAAGTGTTTGAAGAATGCCGCCACTACACGTTGGGAGAGCAACATATCCTAATCGTACTCCTGGGAGAAGATTTGAATTATCGTTGACCATATCCATAGCATATTTTAGTACTGCGATTGTTTTAAAGGCGGAAAGACGTCGAGACCCTCTCTCTCCACTACAAAACCCCACTTGGTCGGAGTCTGATTTGAGAATGTTTGCCAGCACGCCAATCATTACATCACCTTGATGTACATATGCGTCGTCATCTTGTAAGTCACGTAGTGTGTAGTCAGATATTACGACACGGAAAACTACTGAAATAATGTAAAAACCTGTCAAAGCTAGCATCTTGTTTAATTATTTTCCTTATTCTGCAGTCGAGTTCCTTTCTACTCTATATTTATGATTTCATAGTAGGAGTGGCTTTTATAGAGTGGATCTATTCATTGATATATTTTATAACTCACTTGTCATCATATACTTTGCCTTTCTATGGCATCTAATATATAAATGATGCATTATTATAGAATTGTGTGATGTTAGACGCGATATTTAATCCACATACAATAGTTTCACAAGATTGATGATCTCTGAAGAGTTTCACATATAATCCCCTCGGATGTACATTTATATAGCAGGTATCAAGGATAAATAAAAGGCTTTCAAATACAAGATCGTCTATTTGTTCAGCTAAAATGGAACATTTTGTGGTTCATGGTGGTGAATTTAATGTCTTCGTATTAATTGTTAAGATAACTAACATGTAATAAAATACTCTTATCATATGTATTGTATTTTGTTTGCAACTAATGAAGGTGAGCAAAACCTCTGGGGTATACCCCGTATATACTGTCGTAATCCTGGAAGACAGACCCAGGAACCCTTTCTTGAAGGAGACACGTGTTCTCTAATGTGCACTCATACATGGATATTAGACATACAGGTACACACCACAGCCTTTTGTAAAAGTCGTGGACCACTCAGTCAAACACCCTGAAGTACTTTCGCAACAAGTTAAGCAAAGTGCCTGAATCGGGGATCGAATCCGGGATCTATGATCCAATTGATACATGCTCTACCGCTGAGTTACACTACGCTGAGTTACTCTACGCTGAGTTACACGGGTGGAGGACATTATTACATTATATATTATTTAAATGTAAATTGATATCAAATGATTATATGTTTACTTTGATAATTTGTATTTAGAACAAGACAAACAGTGATAAATATCGCACTTTGAAGACCTAAATAGTTGGTCACCATGTACTTTACCCAGCATGCCCAAATCCTAACCAGATCTTGGCACTATAGTCTGGTCTTGCATCTGTAAAAAAAGTTCAAGTTAAATTCGGTTTCCAACAAGATTAATGGAAAAATTCGAAATGACTGCCAATTCAAAATGGCCGCAGCATAGCCAAAACCTAATCAGATATTGGCACTACTAGCTGCTGTTGTATCTGTAAAATTTTAAGTTCAACGGATAAGGCCATAAGAAGTAGATTCTTTGTTTAGCGTCCCCTTGCTTGTACGATTTTGAGTAAATCAGAAAAAAACAAAAACATCCAAATAGCAATCACAAGGGTCTGAAAGCTAGTACCATCACATTTCGTTCAATCAGAATCAGACGAAATGGCGGATAATTTGATGTGCATCAAAATTGACAGTGTTATTGATTACTTTGACATACATTTTGTGTTTTCTTATTTTTTACCCTTGAATAATAGCTATGTTTAAATATATTGTATAACATGTATAGATGTGTGTTTGTAATCACTGCAAATTGGTATGTCATCCCTTTTTATATGCTCATAAAATGTATACATTTCTCAGCAAACAAGTTTGTGTTTTTTGAGTTTGTGTTTGTTTTCCTTGTACCCTTGCATGATTTGGATTTTGCCAGGACGCAAAACAAAGGATCTACTTCTTATGGCCTAAGTGGTTTTCCTAGAATATTGATGACAATATTTATGAAACAATTCAAAACGGCCACCGAGTAATTTACCCAGCATGCTCTAAACCCAATCAGATCTTGAAACTAGTCTGCTCTTGCACCTGTAAAATTTCAAGTTGAACAGATAAGCGATTATCCTGGAAATTTGATGACAATATTTGATTTATGTGGCACCCACCCGCACGTTCACCCACTCGCCCGCATATCACCACTACGGCAATATAGCAGTTTTCAAAGTGCGATAAAAATTATTCGTGGATGCTATCTGAAACTATGAGCGTCAGTTATATTTCAACTTAGCTTGTTCCATTATAAACCCTTCAGAAGAATAAATAAAGGCCCTAAATGAAATGGCCCCAATTGAAAAAAGCCTATGGAAAATTATCTCCAATTATCACCTAACTTACTATTGATAATTAGTTGAAAGTTAGGTGTAAAAATTCACATGCAAATGAGCTAATTATCAACTTAATTAACGCTTAATTTGCAACTTAATTAACGATTAACTACCATCAATATGCAAATGAGCTATTTACGTAAATTAGTTGAAAGTTAGTTGTAAGTTTGATGTAAGTTAATCTCTAATTATCACCTAACTTACTATTGATAATTAGTTGAAAGTTAGGTTTAAGTCAGATTTGTGACATCTCAAAAATGACTCGCTTCTTTTTTGCTTCTCTTCACTCGGAGATTTTTGCTTCATCTTGAACTATTTTGTGACGGAATATTCATCTTAATTAGGATCTTTCAGAACAGACAACATTGAACTTGAACTATTGAAATTTCACAGCAACAGGAGGGAAAACCCCATGGTTCAATTGATGACATACGATTTCCTCCTTCGCACACCTCCTTTTGTCGAAAACGTACCCTCCATCTTGGTTTTCAAAGTTTTCAAATTGACCTAGTTTTAAACCAATCAACGATCGACTCACTAAACCAATCAGCGACGATGTCATCTCAATACAGATTTACATTATAAGCGTATGTCATCTTTGAACCCTGGGGTTTCTCCCCCTCTTTTTAAAAGCTATTCTATTTTGCAAATTTAATTAAGATTCATGAAAAGCATGTGAAAACATCATTATTGCCATCAACAACTAAAATCAGAACACAAACATTAGACTATAATGTTACATAATAAGGACGTAACAGATATAATCAAAAATATGTTTTGAAATGTCTTTGATCTAACAATCATTATTTAGAAGAGCACATTTGGATTACTTGTGAAATATAGGTAACCCATGTTAGTACCTAAATTGCATTCTAGGATTAATATTATATGATCTGATTCAATAAGATTTTTAAATTCATAAACATTTCAGACAGAAGTGTGAATAAGATTTAACATACATTGCATTCATGTTCTACATACCCTTATAATAATGTTGACCAAATTTCATGGTAGTATACACACCATTCACGTTGTAATTCTCAATTTTATGAGAGAAATATCTCTCACATGTTTTCTTTTTCCACCATCTTGAAATTATATTTAGGGGGTTTGTATTTCTAAATCATGGGCCTAATTTACTACTAATTATCATTATAATGTTAACTATCAACCAATAATCTACTTCAGAACAAAAAAGTTTTAATTTACCACTTACTATCACCCTCAAACATTTCATATCTTAATTACCAACTAAAAATTATAAATCAGCATTATTGTAAGTTAATTTACGTTGAACTTGCTACTGATAATTAGGCCATAATTATCATTGATTTAATTAACGCTTAACTTTAATTCCAATTGCCAGCAGAATTGTTGATAATTAGTTGTAAATTAGTTAGTAATAAGTTGGTAATTAGTTTTATTTTTCAATTGGGGCATATCAATTACACAAATTTAGACGAACGCATCCTGTAGCTTTTATGTGTTTAAATATTTATTAGTTTATCTTCTGGAATATGTCATGAATACAATGCACTACTATAGTAGAAAATAATTGTATTCTACAATTAATTTTTTTACTTTATTAATTTAATGACATACCCTGCTTACATTTATGCCAGATGAATGTTGAAGCATGTTTTGCGAATGGGTAAACAAATTGAAGGCTCAAATGGTGTAATAAAAATGACATCGCACGTCGATCAAACTAGGATATATTAAATTGGTTCCCCCATTAAAGCACATCTAAAATTATGACACTCTTGTTTAGAAAGTTTGCCCTACTAATCTTGCAACTAGTCTTAGAGCTTTTCATTTTAGAAATATAATGAAATGATGCGAGGGGTTTAAGACAAATTGTTATTGTCTTTCAGCAACAAACATATCCGGCCTAATTGCCTTTAGCATGATTGGCCAGATTGGCTGTGACAGCCTTAAGGCCTATTCATGTATTACATTGATGCATATTACGTCATTTTATTCAAACCCTTGACGTATGGAAGAAATCAAGTTTGTCAGAACATAATATTTACCTTATATATCAGGAAGTACTTTGAAATGGCAATTATAGCCATGAATGGTGCTGAATCAATTTATAATCACTGTCTGAGCTTTCAGTTGCAGAGGTAATAACCCACTCTGGATATGCTTGAGGACAGTCGTGTGTGTTGGGATGTGTGCAAGAATAGTTCCCGCTGGTGTCGTTGACACCCGTTCCCTCTTTAGTCAGATTGGCTGATGAAACAACCTTTTATTGGGTTGTCGAGTTGGCCGATACAGTGTGAAGAACTGAACACGCCAAGCAAGAATATATACAAACGGTCTTTTTCAAAATTTCAAAGACCATGGGAATACTTTCCAAAACAAGACATATTTTCTGTTTAAAAACTGTTTTGACAGTATATTATTCATTAATCTATTCTCATGTACAATACTGCATCCCGATATGGGGTGCAGCAAGTAAAACAACTTTGGAACCACTTTTAAAACGTCAGAATAGCTATGCAATGTAAAAGCAGAAGGGAGCATACATCGGAATTCTATGCCCAAAAGATTTTAAAGATAATTGATATTTACCGTCTTAATGTTCGTACATTCATGTTCAAATGTTTAAGAAACATTGATATCCCAGATGATCCTTCATGTAATTACAAATCCAATATGGACATTCATCATCATTGCACTTGTCCAATGAATGATCTCTATATCACTAACTGTGGAAAGAAAAGTATTGTAGTTCAGGGTGGCCTTATATAATGAAACACTTTGTGAGATATCAATATAATGTCTTACTATTTGTAATGTGACCTTCCTTAATTTATATATCCCGTTAATTTTCACATTCTATTGTTGTTGGAATAGAAGAGATCTTTAACCATTTCCATTAAAACATTCAATTTTCAATATTATGTACAATGTCATACTTTACACTCATTTCTCATCATATATCAAACATCATTGTAAATACCATTATGTGGCACCTAATACTCACTCCTGGGGGTCATAGCCACTATAACCTGTATATACTGTATGTTACGAGGGGTGATCCAAAAGTCTTGGACGCCCCGCTCTAACTTTGCTATTTTCTAATATAATTACATGAAACTTTCAAATAATAAAGATCAACATCTTAACAACTTTGTGAATAAGTTTCAAGTGAAAATGATATATTTTAGCTACTTTTCTAAATATTTTTTGATACCGGGTCCTTGCTACCCGGAACGGTATTTGAATATAGCAAATCTCGTCACAACTGTTATAATGTGGCAAATACTTTAAGTGCAGGTGCACAACCTAACACCAGTCATAATATGAGAGAATTTCCGATTTTCAGTCTGAGTGTCATCTGTCATCATCATCTTCACATATTAAGATCTACTTTTCAACATATTTTCCACGAATTTGAACACATTTTTCATTCCGCATTACCAATGAATGAAAGACATTTATGAAACCGCCATTGCTTATGTGATACAAATGCTGCTGGAGTGCCACTCTAAACCTCATCCAATGAGTAAAAACATTTTCTCTCAACCCTCCTTTCAACTTTGAGAAAAGAAAAAAAATCAAACGGAGCCATATCTAGACTGTATCGTGCATATGGTAGTTGTTCAAGGTTAATAATAGTGAAAATATATTGTAGTATTCTTTGTTTCACTTTGATTTCTTTCATGTTCTACATTTCAGCAGCCATCTTGGAGCAAAAATGATATCAGAATGAGAGTTGATTGTCTGATGTCATTTTCTTAGAACTTGACATATATGGCCATTGTCATATGTGACATTATGATTAAAAACACAATTAATTGGTTGCCTAGTAACAACAGAAGTAAACTAACATGGTTTAACATTCAAGATTTAAGAAAAGATAGTGGTCAAAACTTGCAAAACAAGTCAAATAGTGGCAACATTTAAGGCTGAAAGTTGCCATGTGTGAATACCGTTCCGGGTGGCAGGGTCACTATATTAACAGCTATCGAGAAAACTACATAAAATATATCATTTCACCATGAAATTAATACACAAAGTAGTTAGGTTGTTGGTCTTTATTATTGGAAAGTTTAAAGTAATTTTATCAAAAACCAACAAAATAAGAGCAGGACGTCCAAGACTTTTGGATCACCCCTCGTACTTTGAGTTTAGTAAAATAAATAAATAAAGCCCCCGATTCATGTTGTTGACCCTTTTTATTACGATCATAGATTCAGCAATAAATTGCGATAGTTGTCCTTAGTCTCAACACGCATTGTTGTTATTCAAATTTCTGCATTTACGGTGAATGTTCAGTGGGGAAAACAGCGTTGCGTCATAATAAATGTTAATTGTCCGTCTCAAGTTCTTGTCTCCAGCTTCGAGCTGTATACAGCAGGGGCAACTTTACTGTTCTAATAATTGTTAATTGTCTGTACCAGGCTCTCCTCTTGCTTCAAGCTTCAATGATACAGAAGAGGCAGCTTTATCGTTTGCTGGCTCTTCCAAGTGACCACTTATTGGATTCAATGTAATGCCTGATCTTGAGGCTCGTGGGGCCGGGGGAAAAGAAATGTTTGACATTCCCGTTACTGAAGGTTGGTTAGCAATTGCTATTGTCATAATGGAGGCTGTAAATTTCATATGATCCTCACTAATATAGTAGATAGCGTAAAGTTTTGGTAGGAATAACACCAAAAGAGTGACAGAGGCGTTCAGTATGAGAAGAGCTGACAGAAGGGTGGCTTTGTGATATGCAGATGATGCAGTGAAATATGTTGGTAAAAAAGCAATCCACAGAAAAAGGGTCGTGCTTACAGAGAAGAAAATAAATCGAGATTCATTGAAATTATCTGGTAAGAACCTTGTTTTGAAACCATAATATGAGCAAATGATAATCAAGACAAGGTTGTAAACCAATGGAGCAATCAGACTTTCAAGAGGGATCCAACATAAAAGTTCCACGAACTTCTCTGTCAACACAGGTTGGTTTCTTGTAGCAACTGGAGACAACATCGTTGTGAGGCAGATTGAGAAAATCATCTAAAATTCAAATTAACAGAATATGTTTAACAGGGCATTATACATCTTCAATTCCATACTCTTTATTATCAAATCAGATTAGCTCACTGTACTGAATCGAGAATTTGCAAAGATGATTCATTTATGAGGTTGCAATAAATCATTCTAATTTATATTAATACCTGCATCAGGATGAGAAACATTGTGAAGATAACTTGCCATCGAGATGAAATAAAGTTAGGCCGAATCGTTCGCTTGCCACCATCGAAAATCCGGAACACTCTGTTGGTCTTAACGGCCATCGGTGCGTAAGCAAGTGCCGAGCTGATGTGGAAGCCGACACAGCTAAGGTAACAGTATATAGTGACCGGTTTTGCAATGACTGTATATACAGTCACATAAGCAAGCATCGTTCCTGCGAGAATAATACCCGTTAACTCTCTGTTTGAAGCCTTTACCAGTTTGTGGTTGCGGTTCTTAATAAGTAGAACAGAGACGGTGATACATGCCAACAATCCAATACCACTGAGGGATGTCATAACAATGGCAAGAATATCTGTAAATAGTAAATAGCTCAATTGTATTTCAACGCAGTTTTCGAATACCACCTGGTCAGGCCACTTGTATATCGGGCATTCCTTACAGGTACTAGCATTGTTGATTGTTATCTCGTTAGTGCGGCACTTCCTGCATTCCCAGCAACATTTCAGTTCCTGTTTAATATAAAACTCTCCTGGTCGACAGGGGTAGCTGCACATAGACTCTGGATACACATTTTGTAGTTTGTTGTGATCTGTGTGATGGTGCCATTTCAACGTTGCGTTGTTTACGTCCAAATTTATGTCCATATGTTTGTCCCATATGCCTATGCGGACAACATGCTGTTGTTGTTGATCGGGGTCATTTTGAATTTGACTTATCGAATACCTCCCAAGTATATCTCCATTCTGGTCGAAATTTATTGGTCCCCAAGAACCCATAAAATTCACATTGACAAGATATTGTTTGAATAAAGGCCCTTTGATACAATCTTCTAACAGCGATGTTTCATTAAAAGCCATTGGGCACTCATTTGTTATAAGCTCATGTAAACCATGGGCAAATACGTTAATGGCGTCTATCAATGATGAGCCACTAACACCATATGGGGTATAACCATTTTCTTCATTTAGTCTAAGTTCGTCATCACAAAGCGTCGAATTTTTACCACTGTTATTAAATGAGCAATCAAAATGAAATTCCCATACATCTCGAATCCATTTGTGTCCCAAGGTGTTGGCATCAGAAAAATTACTAGGAGTTAGTGATTTTATAAATGTGTCCATCGCACTAACAGGCTCGGAGTACAACCCAATCTTTATGGATCCTACCATTTCAGGCAAAATGTCCCCTTTGAATGACACAGCATCACTTACCACGAAAATGAATTCATTTGAACCATTTGATGTTCTAATTGCGTCCAGAACTCCTCTGAGGTCCGCTGTGAAGGCAAACACTATCACTACTTTAGGCTTGTTGTGCCGCTTAAGGTTTGTATAGACGTCAGCGAACTCATTTTGCTTCATTGATTTATGAATAACTCCGCTATATTCAAGACAAATGTCATACTTCTTTAACAGCCTATGAACTTTATTGATCCCATTTTGTCCATAGCTATCTGGTCTGTGCAGTGTAGAAACATAAGTCCAGTTGAAATAGCGAATTATGTCAACAATAGCCTGGGTCTGATATCTGTCTGGAGGTGCAACACGCATGAAGTATGGGTACAGCTCTTTGTTACTTAGTTCATCGCTTGAAGCCCATCTGCTTATCTGGGGAATCTGAGCTAAACCTAATACTGGGGCAGACATAACAGACGCCTGACTAGAAGGAGGTCCAAGAACACCTTGAACCTTATAGTACTGCAAATATTTAGGATCTCTGGGATTTTCACACTGTGAAGCCTGGGGCACAAACTGTAAAACTCTTGCTAGTGTTGTTAAGAGCCCTTGGCAAGTTGGGAGAGCAATGAAACCTAATCTCACCCCCGGGAGTATTGTTGGGTCGGTGTTAACCTTATCCATAGCATAAGTCAATCCTCCAATGAATTTAAATGTAGATAAACCACTAATTACGTCATCACTGCACAACTCATCTTCAGAGATTCCGCTTTGGAGAAGACTTGACAAGACACCAATCATGACGTCACCTTGATGTAGATATACCCCGCCACCTTGTAAACCAGGTAAGGTAAAGTCCGAAAGTATAACTCGAAAAACTATGGTTGCCACATAAACCTGCCACAGAAGCATTGTTTCAAAGCAGTCCTCAAGTACACGATGAGTTTAGTTTAGTATATAAAATCAAATTATCAATTCCGTTTTTCACATTCTTTTCATCCTGAGTTTCAGATCAATCCGTTTTATCTACGTGATGAGTTTAATGCAAGCGTAAATATTATCGAACGTTCCGCCGTAGCGCCACTTGCCTAACCTGACACTTGTTGAGCTCTTGCAACAAACTCGCAGACTAAAGCAAATTAAGCCGTGATGTCTTGCGTTTTATCTTGTATCTAATTTCCCTTTCTTAAAAAGTCATTGAAAATTATTTACTGGATTCCATAATTCCAGAGTGTCTCGTGTTAATCTATTCACTTATAATAAAGATCAAATGCCAAATATCAATGTACCCGTGTAGAAGGCCTTTATCGGCCTTTATTGTGTACTTATTCACAAACGTACCACCATTACGTTGCTATTAATATTTTTTAGAGACACGCTATATGGTAATAACTTGACACCATCTAGCGTGTTCTTTGAAATTCCAATTTAGTTCGCAGACGAGAATACAGTACCTGCTTGTTTACGATGTAAAATGAAACAAACGATGGGCCATGGTTCAAATTCGCCACTGGAAAGATAGGAGTATCCACCTTATGAATCTGATCATATTTGCAAAGTCTAATGATGCACAACTTTTATTAATAATGGCTTTTGTCACAAAATTGGGTAAATTTAGTGAATTATAAGATTTATCTTGCAGCCTGATTTTCTGGTGAATTCTTAAAAACAAGCAAAACATGTCTAATTTAAATTCATCGAACGTTGACATTGCACAGCATTTATGAAGAATATGTATTTTTCATTCTATATCTGTTTTCATTATGCTGATTAAAAAAATAAAAATATAACCACAAAACAATAACAAATTGTTGATTGGATTCGCATTGCAAGTATTTTCTTGGCTGAAGCAAGGTTATTTACTGAAAGCAGAGATACGCAGTATTCCTTATATTCTATATTTTCTTAAATATATTGGTACTCATCTCCTATTCTGTAGCAGTTAATGCATAATATAATTATACTTTTGATCCGATTTGCGGTTGATTATTTTCAATTGAATAAATATCATGGCATTTGTGAGTTCTTACTTCCAACACCGTGTCTAAATTGGGTTGTGATTTATTGATAACTGATACATATACAATGTCGCTCAATAAGTTCGTGCAAAGAGATCAGCGGTGCATTTTTTGGAAGCAGGCATAGTTATTTATTCATCAATTATATCAATGTTCAGTGTACAGGCAACTGACACCCATGCGGGTGTATATAGTTACATATGATTATGTTACATAATTGTAACATTAATTGTAACATTATGTTACATAATTGCATTACCAGGAAATTGAACACCAATATAAGTAAAAAAAACTAATATCTTAATACACATTTACCTATACATGCCTAACTATACATCAGCTTTGTTACTGCCGCACATATAATTCATATAATGATATTTAATCAGGATTATAGCCAGGATCTAAACTTAGACGAGACAAAAATTATGTGAGTCTTTAGGCTAAATGAGGCATATGATTGCTTCCTTTTGGCTTTATGTATTTCCAAAGTTTTAACTAGAAAACGGCTGTAATTTACATATATATTTCTGTTAAATTGTGGTGAGCATGTTGCCTCACTTGACCCATACCTGATTACACCCATGTTTATTTAGACAGTGGCTATGAACTAGCACCACGGGCATGTAAAATACAGCATTAGACTTGAGTAGCATACTCTTGATTAGTATATGGCGAGTCTTTCGACCTACAATCGCAACCGCTAACTGTTCCACTTCCACCGTTCCACTTCCACCAGAAGTGACCAATTAGACACCCACTTTACATAATAACATGCTTTCATGAGCATCCATTAATTTTACATGCCATTGATAAGAATATGGACCCTCAAAAGAAAAAATGGTAACATTAACACTTCTGCAAGATATTTAAATGAACTACATAACATTCTTGATTAATATGTTCATTTAATATGTAACATGTTGCACTGGAATTGACATTTTTTCAGATCCGATTATTGCACTCTTTGTCCCCGCCGCCGCCACCACCGCCGCCACTTACTGATGACTCTTACTATTTTCAAAATGTTCTTTGAACAGAATAAGATGGAATGAAAAAAGCTGGCACCTCAACTCATTGGTCTATGTAACTGTACCCGGTTCTCCCCTTGCCTCTAGCCTTAATGTTACAACAGAAGCTGTTGTATCAGTTGTAAGCTGTGTCAATGGACTACCAATCGGTCTCAAATCGAGATTAAATCTTGAAGGTCCAGGTGGCAAAGAAAGGTTGGACATCTGTGTTGCTGGTACAGAAGGTTGGATACCAACTGCCATAATCGACGCTGTGAATTTCATTTGAGCCTCACTTAGATAGTATATGGCATAAAGTTTAGGCAGAAATAACACCAAGAGAGTTATAGAGGCGTTTAGTATGAGAAGAGCTGACAGAAGGGTGGCTTTGTGATATGCTGATGATGCAGTAAAATATGTAGGTAAAAAGGCGATCCACAGAAAAAGCGTCGTGCTTACAGAGAAGAAAATAAATCGAGATTCATTGAAGTTATCTGGCAATGTCCTTGTTTTGAACCCGTGGATCGCACAAAGGATAATCAAGACAAGGTTGTAAACAAGGGGAACGATCAGACTTTCAAGGGGAATCCAACATAAAAGTTCCACAAACTTCTCCGTCAACACAGGTTGGTTTCTTGTAACAACTGGAGGCAACATTGCTGTTAGGCAGAATGAAATAATCATCTGAAAATATAAAAAGGAGTAGGTGTCATAAAAATTTAATCATATTAATCTCGTGGCATGATATGCTTTATGTAGTCAGCAATGCCCCTTCTTTTCCTGCACTAAACGATGAATATTTATTTGGACATGTCTATTGTATAAACATAGTTTTGAACAGGTATACCCAGGTATGAAAATAAAATACTATAATATGATTACCTGTATCAAGATGAGCGCCGCAGTGAAGATCGCTTGCCATCGAGAGGTAATGAAGCTGGGTCGACTAAATTTCTTACCGCCTTCGAATATCCGAAAAACTCTGTTAGTTTTAACAAGCATCGGAGCATAAGCAAGGGATGAGCTGATGTGAAACCCCAGGCAGCTGAGGTAACAGTAAACAGTGTCTGGCTTGGCAATGATTGTATATACAGTCACATAAGCAATCATTGTTCCTGCAAGAATAATACTCGTTAACTCTCTGTTTGAAGCCTTCACCAGTTTATGATTACGATTCCGTATGAATATAACCAAGACAATCATACATGCTAAGAACCCAAAACTACTTAAGACTGTCATGAGGATTCCAAGAGAATCTGAGAAAAGTAAATAGTTCAATTGTATATCAACGCAGTATCCGAATGTCAACTGATCAGGCCACTTGTATATTGGACATTCCTTGCAGGTACTAGCATTGTTGATTGTTATCTCGTTAGTGCGGCACTTCCTGCATTCCCAGCAACATTTCAGTTCCTGTTTAATATAAAACTCTCCTGGTCGACAGGGGTAGCTGCACATAGACTCTGGATACACATTTTGTAGTTTGTTGCGATCTTTGTGATGATGCCATTTCAATTTTGAATCATGTATGTCCAAATTCATGTCCTTTTGTTTGTCCCATATGCCTATGGGGACAAGATGTTGCTGATGGTCGTCACCAATTTGAATTTGACTAATTGAGTACCTGCCCAGTATATCTCCATACTTATCGAATCTAATTGGCCCCCAAACACCCGTGAAGTTAGTATTAAGGAGATACTGTTTGAATAATGGTCCCTTGATGCATGTATCGAGTAGAGCTGTGTTATTGAATGCAAGTGGGCACTCATTTGTTATAAGTTCATGTAACCCATGAGCAAATACGTTAATGGCGTCTATCAATGATGAACCACCACCATCATATGGAGTATAACCATTTTTCTCATTAAGTCTCAGTCCCTTCCCACAAAGTGTTGAGTTTGCAGCATTCACATCAAAGGAGCAATCAAAATTATTTTCCCAAACGTCTCGAATCCATTTTTCTCCTGTTGAGTTAGCGCCAGTAAAATTGTTTGGAGTTAGGGACTTAATATATGTATCTATAGCAGGAACTGCCTCATAGTATAAGTCAACTTTTATAGCTCCTACCATTTCAGACATGAGGTTGTCTATGTAGTAAACACCGTCACTTCCTACCCAAATGAATTCATTGGAACCATTTGATTCTTTGATTACATCGAGAAGTCCTTCAAGGTCTGTTTCATAAGCAAACACTATTACAGCCTTTGGTTTATTGTTTCGCTTAAGATTCGTGTGAACATCTTCAAACTCGTATGGCTCCATTGAACTATGGATGACCCCGTTATATTCAAGACAAATGTCATATTGTTTCAACAGTCTATGAACCATTTTAATCCCATTTTGCCCATAACTATCTGGTCTGTGCAGTGTAGAAACATAAGTCCAGTTGAAATAGCGAATTATGTCAACAATTGCCTGGGCCTGATATCTGTCTGGAGGTGCAACACGCATGAAGTATGGGTACAGCTCTTTGTTGCTTAGTTCGTCGCTAGATGCCCAATTACTTATTTGTGGAATTTGAGCCAAGCCTAGAACGGGGGCAGACATGACCGAAGATTGACTGGAGGTTGCACCTAGAACACCAACCACCTTGTAAAACGGTAAATATGTTGGATTTTGAGGCACGTCACAATGTGGCGTCAACGTTTCGTCACAGTGAGGCGTTCCAGTTTTTTGACAGTGTGGAGACTGTGGTACGAATTGCAGAGCTCGGGCAAGTGTTGTTAGATGTCCATTACATGTTGGGAGAGCAATGAAGCCTATTGTCACCCCAGGGAGTACACTTGTGTTATTGTTCACTAAATCTATAGCATACTGTAAAGCTCCAATGTTTTTAAATGTATCTAAGCCAACCACCACTTCATCACTACACAGTTCACCTTCGGAGCTTCCATGTTGGAGAAGATCTTCAAAAACGCCAAGCATAATATCACCTTGATATTTGTATGCCTTATCACCTTTTAAACCAGGCAAGGCTAAGTCCGACACCGCAACGCGAAGAACAGTTAAAACGATGAAATAACCTGGCCACAAAAGCATGGTTCACAGCATGTGACATCTAATCTTACCAAATTTCAATTTATGCCAGTTAGGTCACGTTGACGTGCCTCTCGTGTATTCCAGCTATTAGGATAATTATGTATCGAATTCCTACCATAATTTGTTTGTTTTTGTGTCATAAAACATACCAGCATATACTTCAGTGTCATCTCGAGTGTGATTTGTTTCAGCCTACACGTAATCTAACTTATATTTGCGTTCTTGGGATGTGGTAACATGAACATTTGATTGCTCTAATGCACCTGTGGCTTACTCTGTCATATCTTGCAGATATTTATTTGCTTGAAATGCCATCCATTTTTAGTTTTAGCCTACATAGGGAAACTTGGAGAAAGAGAAACTACATTCATAACTTATACGACGGTGAACGGGAGGTTTACAGTCACCCCGGTGCACTAATCCCTTATCTAAATGTTCGTTCCGCGGACCAGGGTGCACCAGAGTTTAAGGCCATTCCAAAAGAAATAAGTGCCATTACCTAGGGTGTGGTATTCATAGATTAGTAACACTTACAATTACAATAATTCCATCACCAGGATGTGGTAAATTTCAGAGATAATTCCACACGTAGACAGCCTTACAACGATGGGCGTTCAGTCGACTGATGATTTATCTAAGTGACGAAACGAATTAGATCTTTGGCAATAGGCAAATTTCGTTCACGTACACGTTTTCTCCAGGAACTCAATCACAATTATTTTCCTTATACCTTTATGATTATAGGCCAAACCGGGCATGCTATAAAGAGGAAAACTAATCACCATGATCACTAGAGGACCAGAACGTACACGAAGAGATTTTCTTAAAATGTATAGTTTTAACCTCGACCATCGTGTCCGTAAAATAATCACCACATTCATAAGCCATTTCTATAGCGGGACATGCAGGTGAAAACGTCTTGCGAAGAAAAAACGTATAATATTGATGAAAACGTAACTTGAATTTATTTCCAATATACAAAAGGCGAAAAATGATGTTCAAAATTGACTTTGAAGCTCTGTAACTTTAGTATTCATCAAGTAAACTAAACACTTAGTGTACAAAAAAGTTAGACAATTCAATTTTCTACATTAAAATTTTTTTTTCTGAATATTTAACTGAATAGATATCCTGATTTTGGATTTGCCCCGAACCCACCATTTCCCATTGGTTAACATGGGAATGACGATTTTCAAAAATTCATCAAATTTATCATCAATTTTCGACCTACCGGATTTTCTCGGATATAAGCCCTGGGCGTATAACTGAAAGAAGGGGTAATTTCGGTTGTTATTTTACCTCTTATTTTTCGCCTATGGGCGTATAAGTGTACTACTTTCGATTTTTGGCACAGTGGGCGTAAATGTGAGAAGAGCTGATCTTCCTAAAAGACTACAGTACCTACTGTTGTAGTCCTACCGCATGTTTTGTAAGAATTATAAAGGAAATGTCACCTACATCCTTGGACTTAATGTTGAAACAAAGTAACAACAGAACGATCCACCACTGCCACTTACGGCACAGCGTTGAACTTAATGTTGAAACAAAGTAACGACAGAACGAACTGCCAGTGACAAAATACTCTTGAATTTATTGAAAAAATCAATAAATAGTCATTTTTTATAGGCACATGGGCGTATAAGCGTACTACATTCGATTTTTGGCCCATGGGCCTAAATTTAGGGGGGCGTATATGCGAGAAAATCCGGTTGACGAAATAATTGAGAAAATTTGGTGGTATTGGAAATAAAGTCAAGTTACGTTTCCATCAATATTATAAGTAATTTCATCGCAGGGTAAGTACTAGCAAATAAAAATTCAAACGTAAAGAGGCTTTAACACGTAGTTCAATAGGGGAGCTAAGGTTGCCAAACTTATGGAGGTGTACTTTACATCTGTACTATCAACAAGATATCTTGTGGAAATCTCTATCATAGCAAATACATATTTTTTATTCAGCAGTTATTTATTACATATATTTAATACATCTAATCCGCTGGATATGCTTCTGGATCTTTTAACTACAATATTTTGTTATAAAATAATGACTTATTCGTTACACTACACTAATACCTTTCTTGCTGAATCTGTAAAATGCTTAAACCCTTCGTCCATCAACTAATACGACCCAGACATATATGAATTGATGCTGAATAAAGTAATCTATCAGAAAAATTAGCAAGTGGCCCTCTGACTTCCTAAAACCCCTGCTGGAGACTGCTAGATAATATAGTGGTAGTTCCCTCGACGATCGTATTACATGATCTCCACTCTGTTTTGTATCATTTTAATATTGTCATAACTGCGGCATTATGAACTTTTCATGAATCACATCAAGAGTAACGTACTAATAAATAATTAGAGACCAACCATATAAAATGGAAGTAATGTATTAGTATCAACTGTTCGGTGTAGTTGCTTATTACAAGACACAATAGGCCCATTATTAATTATTAATTAACTTATTTATTAACTTAAGGATTTAAGCTTTGGACTCAGTGCATTGTGTGCTGAACCATTCTACGAAGATGTTTCCAAATCTTTGCTTGGCCCCGCAGGGAGAATGCAAGGAAACAACATCTGAGTGGAATGAGGCAGCTGAAATGCTTTGAGTCTTGGGCTAAAATTATTTTCACACATTGCAAAATATTTCTATAAAATCACATAAAAGATACAAAATCACTAAAAGAACATATTTTCAATGCAAGGGTCAAGTATTGGAAAACTCAATTTCAAACTCAATCGCTTAGCAACTGTACATAACAAATGCGTTATTGATATTTCACATACTTTTTATTATGTGAATGAGAAAAAGTAATAAAATTGTTGATAAATAGGCAAAAAATTATCTCATAAGCCAGAAAAGTGGTTTATGGAAAAACGCACTTTCCAACTTAAGTTCTCATTGGATCCGATGGCTCATTAACATTTAAAACATGATAAAATATTATATTCAATCACGATGTTGCTTTTTTAAAACATTTTTTTAAATATCTTGCCATCTGAGCGACATCACAGCGTATCATCGTAACATCAAAATTTTTAAAAACATACATGTGTTAAGTGTTGTATTTGATGATTCAAAAGTCTAAACTTTTGTTTCTAAAATTGCGGGAAAATATTAGATGAACAACATATTTTTCAAAAGAATGTATCAAAGGGTTTTTCAAGTCATGCGAAGTAATATTTATGCCTAAATATATTTTCAAATTTAACATAGGGCCTTTAAAAGCAAATGCGACAATCATAGTCCTCTCAACGTAAATATTAGTTCTGAATATGTTCGCTTATGGCGTCTCTGTTTTTGCTAGGCATATGCGACATTATCATACTCATTGATTTCTTTATGTCGGTACTGAAAGTCTTTTTTTGTTTTAACATCGCTAGTTGCTGTCGTCTACATATAACAGTCAGAATAGCTATGACACATATAGCAATAAACAAAAGTATCCCTAAAGCGATTGAGATTGCTCTCAAGGTGGGAGTTTCCGATTCATTTATGATGGCCTTTGCTGTAGTGTTTGTCATGTTGAATGCTCCAGTTGCTTCAATGGTTGAAGATAAAATTGATGCTTCGGTCTGGGTTCTGGGAGAAGTCGAAGTAGCTATCGTTGAGGATGTTTCAGAATCTAAAACTAGGGCATAAACGTCATATCCCGGAGCAGGGCTGTTTCCTAATTTTAAGTCATATTTACCATTTTCAACAATATTACAAAAACGAAGATCACATTTCACAGATGTCATATCCCTATTACTGTAATAGTTGATGACATTTGCCCCATATTCACAAGCGTACAGCATACACTGCCTCAAATCCCCTGCCTGTTCAATCACAATGGACCGGCTGCATTTTGACATAAGGCATTGGTTTCTATGCCGTCTTATCACATATATGGAAGAATTGCAGACGGGTGATCCTGGATATGGTAAGACTAGCCATTCGTTTTGATATTCTTGACCAGACTGTCTTGACCAAAACAAATACTTTCTATAAAGTAAAAATCCCATCCTGTTCCTTCATGGTTTCTCTTACATTTTAAGGCAGTAGAAGAACGAGTTGTTGAGTTAATATTATACATGATAAGATTTGAACCAGTTTTGCAAAACGCCTCTTCGGCATCGCCCTGTCCACATAGAGACACTTCATCGAAACATGCTGGTAGTGGAAGTTGTATTGGCTCAGGTTTAAACTGACTGTTGCAGTCGATTGCCAAATGGGATAACGTATACATAACTGAAGCATTGTCCGAACGGTACAAGTTGAATTCGTAATCGTTTTCTGATGGATTATATCCACATTGTATTGTTTCACATCTTTGCGGACTTTCATTGGTAAAAAATCTAAACAGATTTGCCTTGTCATGACAAGCAGCAGACATACAATCACGCAAATTGAATCCGGTGTGATTTGTGATAGAAAGACATGGCGACTCTCCTCGCCACAAAACATCCACCAGCCCTCTTTTTCTAAAATAAGAACTGTGGCACTTTGGAATAAATGGATGTGGCCTCGCATAAACTGGCCGTTGCACACCGTCATCAACCCATCCATAGTCCCAGTCAGTCCCATTCACATTAGAATCGCATTTGTAAATTGCACAATGGTGATCGTTCCTCTCATCCCATTGTGTACCATATTGAACGACATTTGCTCCCAATTCGCACGCTTTTGCAAAGCAAATCTCATGTGATGTGTATTTGCCTACAGTGACATTCAACAGGGGGCAAGATGGGCTTAGATACAGGTCCAATCGCATTCTTGCTTGGAGGAAGTCACCAAAGTAACAGTCACCTGCAATAAACATAGGGATATGAAAAATGCAACAGAATTAAGATATTTTAGATAAAACATTCGGATATGATTTTGTAAGAAGTTTGTCCAGCCATCATTGATTCTTCCAAATCATAAAATCCGGAGAAGAGTAAATACAAAAAATAACCGAATGCACTCAACTTAAGACAATACAATTTATTGTATATTGTGCTTTGCCTTCGAAACACTTCGGACAATAACTTACCCGGACATGATGGGAGTGCAGCAGAAGCTACAGCGAGACAAGCTCCGGCCACGATAAAGAGCAATGTCACCTCCATAGCGGAACAGTCAGCGTTGTACGTTGACAATTAGAATGTACCCAGGCACCCCGAAAATCAGTGCTGAACATCACGTCTTGGTGTAATGTTTTAAATGTTCTTGCTTTGAATATGTTGGACCTATTTTTATATTAGTTTAAACTTTGGAATAACTAGTGATAAAGCATGTTATATAAACACATTATTTGAAAGTGCAAACACATTTATTACATTTAGTGGATTCAATATCTATAATTATAACCTTTCGTTTTTTCTCTTGCACACGATTAAAACAATATTAGCTATCAAATCCGTGTACTTCTAATTTGATTTTAAAATAACCAGCTTCACGTCTTCTACCCTTTGCATTCGTTTGACTTCACTTCTTAAAAGAGAGCTTCTTAAGTTTAACTAGACTCTGCATGCAGGGTACGTCTTCCTTACATATGAGCGAATCCACTAATGCAGCTTTCCCAATTGGGTAAATAGTAAATTATAGCGATTTGGAACGTAAATTAAACATGCGAACCGAGGCGCAAATTTGCGCTTACTTGCGAACCGGGCCGGGATTGCATCAGGGCTATTAGTTTGGTTGTCATCAGGCCGTATCAGTTCAGGAACATTTTGCAAATTATGTTTATTTCTCATGGCACACCACATGTTTAAGTGAGACGCTGGTGACATATTTTATTCAAGTAAAAGTGTACAATTCATAATCCATGGCTAGATAGCATCCTCAAGTTTCATTTGGTATGCAAATTATGATTTTGTATCAAAAATTAAAAAGTAATAGCATTTTGAAAAAAGTGGCGTTTTTTTGGCCCACCTTGTATTTGTAAGCTTTTGCGTCCGTAGTTCGTCGAAAACTTTTGAGCATGCATAATGCAAACTATATGGTAATTAAAAGTTTTGTTTTTCGTTAAAATTCGTTCCAATACGTCAACCAATTGGAAAGTCTTCGAATAGCGTTGTCAGATGGCCTTAGAGGTCCTATCAAGGTTAAAAGAAAGTGTAATATTTAGTGGAAATAAATGTAAACGCAGATCTGCCTCAACGAATAATGCAAAAACTCTTTAGAACAGATCGGAGTAAACCATATTATCTCATTACGTCTCATTGATTCTCTGTTTAATTCCATTCATTCTTTTTGATTTCCTTAGAATAAAAGATGTATATTATAGTTACTCAGTTCGGTAGTTGTCAAAAAACAACTTCGAACGCTACCTGCAGCCTGCCATCTTGTACTTCCCAATATACATGTACTTATTGGGATTTCTTATGTTTAAAAAGAGTGCCATGGGTCTTAGGCTCTTTGCTCACATAGTGACGTATTTTCAAAATGAATTCTTTTTATACATAAAACATTTAGCCTTTCGAGTATATTTCGTCACAGGTCTAGACCTTGACCTGTTCGACATGGGTACTTTATAATAAACCGAACTCTATGACAATTTAAACCATTCAATTTTTTGGACATGTGCGCAAAAATGTTTGTCTCATTTTATCATACCTAAGCTTTTAATCTTTATTTTTAGATAAATGAAGATTACTGTATTTGCCAACACTTGACATTTTTCTCTACTATTAGCAGTACCTTTACAATTCCAAGTAAATAGATGCCTTTTGACACAAAATTGTGATATTTCGACAATAAAAAAGTGAAGGCCATTTCGAACGTCTGAGACATGTTTTGCTGAACCTTGTAGACGTTACAAATTGATGAAATACTTTCGAAGAGAAAAGATGATCAAAAACGAGCTGAACACTATTTTCGGTATGAACTCTTTGAGTGCTGGGTTTTTCGGAATTGTTATGCATCAAAATAAACGACGGAAACGACTAATGAGCCAGGCCACGGGAAAGGGTGTCTAATCACTTTTCCAAAGCGTTTGACACGGTGGCTCACGAACGCCTCTTGCTCAAACTCGACTATTATGGAATTCGCAATAATAACTTGAACTGGTTCAGATCCTGGCTTGTGGGAAGATCACAACAGGTAGTGCTCGATGGTGAATCAAGTTCAAAAACTCCAGTAAAATCAGGAGTTCCTCAAGGAACAGTTCTTGGACCACTCTGTTTCCTTGTTTATATCAATGATATGGGCAATAACCTATCATCCTCAGCCAGTCTTAAGCTTTTTGCCGACGACAGCCTTTTATTCATGACAGTCGAAAGCAAGCAAGATGCATTAACACTACAGGAGAATCTTGATAAACTGGTCTCCTGGGCATCAACATGGCAAATGAAATTCCATCCATCAAAATGCTATGTGCTAAATATTCACAAAGGTAAATCCCCTATCATGCACAATTACACCATGCTAGGGGAAAACCTTAAGTCGGTAACACACATCCCATACCTAGGAATTGACATCACAAATAACTTACGCTGGACTACACATATTCAAACTATTGTATCCAAAGCCAATAAGGTGCTTGGATTTCTCAGGCGCAACCTCCATCAATGCCCTGAAAAAGTGAAGGCTCAGGCGTATAAGTCACTAGTCCGGCCTAATTTAGAGTATGCCAGCTCGGCATGGGATCCGTACCGACAAAAAGATATTGATATGTTGGAACAGGTACAGAGAAGAGCAGCCAGGTTTGTAACCAAATGTCACTCAAGGGAACCAGGCTGCGTCACCAAAGCTCTTCAAGACCTACAGTGGGAGCCACTGAAGGAGCGTCGAGAGGCTGCTAGAGTTTTCCTTTTCTACAAAGGAAAGCAGAACCTAGCAGCCATCGACGTGCCTCCATACTTCCGCCAACAGATCAATACCAACACTAGGTTGTATCATCCTTCTAAGTTCATACAACCATCAACTAGAACGGATGCATACAAATTTAGCTATTTCCCTAGGACAATAGCTAAATGGAACACTCTACCTGGTGACATCTTAGACTGTGACAGTCTAAGTAGTTTTAAATCATCATACTATGCCTATGTCAATAACTGCAATTAAATAGGTGTGTTTTTAATATAGATCTATGTTTTAATGTAAAGGGTCCCCAGTGCACAGCAACAAGCCTGCACTACTGGTAAAGAGGGGTGATGTCAACGCGGTTAGCCTGACAGTCTCCCCAGGTAAAATGAGTTGTAAACCATAGATCTATTTTTAAATGTTAAGGTTTTAAATTATATTCTATTCAAATTCTATCACTGTTAAATTATATATCTGCTTTATATGGGCTTATTAGCCTTTTGCGGATTATTGACATAGACATAGATAGACATAGATCACAGTGTTTTCGATATTTTTATTTTTGCTTATCTTAAAAAAGCACAAAAGGACCTTTCAAATGAGCCATGGCTCATGTCTTACCAATCTATCCTTGCAGATATAGTTAAGAAGACGGATTTGAATTTAACATATTGTCTTCTTAAACTTGGGCACATTTTTGGCACTGTAGCACAATTTTAATTTTTGTGATAAGAACAGTTTTCCTATGGCCAGGCTCTAATATTGAAGACAATTTTGAAATGAGGTGGGCTTTTGAACTTGGTAACACATGTGCATTTTGTATCGGAGATTTATAGAAAGCTTAACAAAAGATCAATCGACAGACATTACAAAACGTGCCATTGATGTTGAAAGAAAGACAGACAGACAGACGGACGGATGAATGAACGAACGAGTGATTGCAATAACTAAAAGTGAGTAAAATAGACAATTGCAAGAGGCAAAAGGCATTTTAAGACTCCGACTATTTAAGATTGTTTATTTCCATATTTCACGTATTTCATGTATACAAATAATAACAATAAGATGAATTTATGGTATGAATATTTTGACCGCGGGTGTGGATTCAAAAGTAAACGAAGCTAAGTCAAACGAATATGAAGCCAAACGATGAGTGAATTAGGAGCTGAAAAGCAAGTTTTCCAAATTGATAATAGCAAGTATTTTTAATGTGAAGAGTGTTACATTATCACAAGATGTTGCTGATAGAGTCTGGTGAGCACGCCGTGTATAAGTTAAGATGTTATTAATTGTGATAATTCCTTATCACCATGACAACGATATCATTAGACTCCAACAGATTACTGATTTCTCGCCTCGCATGTGTTGTGTGGAGCTAAAGTTTACATGTAGATGTAAGTTAGTGGTAGGAATATTTTTTATTTCGCAGATAATCATGATCATCTCGATTGCTGTTTTGTTTTTTGCCAACGAATTCTAATTTTATATTCATTATTATTATATCATTGTCATACTCCTCACTCTCTGATTGATCCATGTCCTACAAGTTATATTCACCAGTCACGACTTAGTCCAGTGTAATTTTATATATCCCCAGGAGTACATCGTTATGATTGATTATACATCAATAGTTTGTTATTCCATTAATGTGAGTGAGAAATATAAGAGTGATTAATAAAACAAATATTTAATTCTATTTTCGGTGAATACCTGTGACACTTTCACAAGATGATATTCCACTAGCCCTCGCTTGTAGGACATGGACCAATCAGAGAGTGAGGAGTATGACAATGATATAATAATAATGAATATAAAATTAGAATTCGTTGGCACTTAATAAACTGTGGCGTTCCCCAAGGCTCAATCATTGGTCCCATATTGTTCCTAGTATAAATAAACGACTTACCTGATAACCTAGACTCCAAATGTTTCATATATGCTGATGACACCTCAATATATTTCCCCGTTGACCCAAATAGCCCTAGTGACATTGATCAGACTGTTGCTCGTAATCTCCTTGCGGTTGAAAATTTGTCACTTACTTGAAAATTAACATTTAAACCTGAAAAGAGCTTTGAACTTATTTTCCAAAGTTCCAGAACCAATAATGTAAATATAAATCACTCAAACCTTTTCAACCAAGTTATTCAGAGAGTACCAAGTCACAAACATCTGGGATATGTCTTTGACCAACTCCTATCAAATAAAGACCACACCTTAGGACTTCGAAATAAAATTACCAAACTCACAAATCCCCTTAAAGCCCTCGAATCTAAACTGACATCTTCTCAATTGGAAACACTTTTTAAGTCCTACATTCTCCCACACTTTGACAATGGATCACTTCTTTTTGACTCATCTTCCAAGTATTTACTTGGATATCTAAATAGTGCCTACTATCAATGTGCTCTTATCTGTTCAGGTTGTCTACCAGGAACCAGCACAACTAAAGTTCTTAACATATTAAATTGGCCAAGCCTAGAAACTAGACGAAAACTCCAAATTAACAACTTCATGTTCAACGTTAGTAAAGGTACATCTCCACCATACATAAACGATATTTTTGATAAGTTCCGATGTGATACTCAAAGAGAACTACGACATACTCGCCACTATAGGCTACCCAACCACGCCACTACCAAATACCTGAACTCCTGCATACCAAATGCAATATCCCATTGGCTATCTGTACCAAAGAATATTCAAACAAGTAAAACCATCATTGCCTTTAAGAACAACAATCGCAAGCACCTTCTCAACCTTGACATAAACATAATCCCTACCTCAAAGCTAAATATTTCTAGAAATGAAGAAACACTTATTAGTAGGTTAAGGGTAGACCATGCCCTTCAGGGCTCAACTCTTTGCCCACAATTACACCTTCATCACTTCTCCTAGCTGTTCTTGTGGTCTACCCGAAACTCCAAAACACTTCTTTTTTCACTGCCCTCTGAATGAAAATACAAAAACCACCTTTTTCAATACTCTCTATACTGAAACTCCTTTGATCCCCACTTACCAATCTACACTTTTAGAATACCTAGCCTTTGGCAATCGTAATTTTAGCAAGGATGAAAACACAAAAATCTTTACTCTGATTTCTGCCTTTATTACGAGATGGCTTACCCCATATTGAACAAGACTATTCTAGAACCTATTGCACCCTGCCTTGTCTTGTAAATATAAATTACATTGTCCCTCTGCCCTGTATTTCCCCCAGTCCCAGCCCAGCTCAGACCCCCCCCTTCCACCCCTCTTCAACTTTTCCCCCGCTAGGCTAGAGTGCTTATAATGCCAAAATGGTGATTAGCACTTGAATATGCTCTCTTGTATTTACTATATTACCCCATGTACATCTATTTTACATAAATGAATAAAAAACAAAACAAAAAACTAGCTCTTAAGGCTTCGTGAAATATCACTTGTGAAAGATGCACAGGTATTCACCTCAACAGAATTAGATATTTGTATAATATCAACTTTATAGCCGATCTGTATTTCACACGCTATCATGTGTCTAATTTCAAGTTAGCCTAATCATAAATGGAAATGGATTGTGATTAGAGATTCCATTTGTAAAAAACACACTTATAGTGTGACAGTTGAGCACATGTTTGTTTCATCTTGACATGAGGCACTTTAACTCTAGTCTGGACCACCTGTGATCCTTCGCTTGGGGTGCTTTCACGCGAATAGCAGACATTTTCAAATGTATATATTAGTTCCATGGGTACTTGCCTCACGTGGTGTTTCAATTTCAGTTGTATTGAGTCATATTTTTACCTTTACAAGTTTGTAATAATAATTCAAACGAATGTAATAATCTACAAATTTTACAAGCAGGTTAATGCTCCGTAAGTTTTTTTAAAGAACGTATAAGAACAGAACACATTTGTGATTCCGGAGTTATGTATTTCTGAGCGACAAAAACGCAAGCCATTTTGACCCGAGTGTCATATATTTTTTTCGATAATGAACAAAATCGTATGAACAGAGGTTAGTAAACTCGCCACTATTGTTGATATACACAGACAGATGATGTGACGGACGGATGAACAGACACGTAATCATTGTCATAGTTCATCGTGTGAGCTGCGATATAAATCACGCTTGGCAATATCACGAAATCAATTAGATGATGTAGACGCGCGTTGTATATTTTGAATTCCCAATAAACTTCAGTTATTTTTACCTTTCTCGGAAACCTCGTGTAGAGATAACATGTGGTATCAGGTGTTATTCACTCCCTCAAATGTTTTGCTGACTCGGATTCCTGGCGTGTTATAATGAGAAAATCTATTTTCTTAATTGTTTTGTTTTCGAAGAAAATGGGTAAACTTCCTCGTATTTCAGGGTGAGACTTTCTATATTTAATGATATGTGCAATGAATGCACTTAACTACTTGCAGAAATAAAATAACTTTACTACTTTATGTATGTTTTAATACCTTTGACTGATGCTTTATAATATACAAATGACAATTTTCATGATGGTGACAATTCATTGTGCTTCAAGTTCAACTATATGGCATATGTTTCAGGAGGTCATTAATGGATGTCTTTACTTATTGTTATGTATTGTATTGAACTATATTGTATTGAATTGAATTATGTTGTATTGTTTGTATTTTATTTTTACTTTTAGTTACTTCTCTTGCCAAACTGCATGATGGTATAAAGCAAATATTTGTAATTGGGTCATTGTGGGTATTTATATTACACATGGGCATTCTCAAAGGCAGGGTATACATTAGGTGTGACCGCACACCCTTTTTGAGCTAAAGTATGACAATTTGGGGCAGTTCTATATTTTAGGTCACTCTGTATTCTACTAAGGAACACGCAAGGATTGAAAATTTACTATAAAAAAATGATAATTTATTGAGCAAAAGTTCCTATATACACAACCCTCTATTGCACTATTTATTCAATGTGTTTTTCTAGCCCATGATATGTGTGTAAATCGTCTTGGGAATATGAGCCAAAGTACAGCTAATGTTCCTCCGCCAATGTAAAAGTTGACCACCGTGCTTTCCTTCGGCATGTAGCACTTGTTTACAGCAAATGCAGAACTAGACACGGTCAACTGCAAATAGAAATAGAGTATAAGAAAGAAAAGTAAACAAGAACACAAATGTGTACAATATGTCCCCACCAATGGGTGATCCCATCTAATGGTTATCCTGAAAATGAGTAGACAAGACTTTACTGCTACAATTTTGGAACGGAAAATGCAAAATGGCCACCTTAAAATTTACCAAGAATGCCCAAAAAATTAGTCAGTTCTAGATTTTCATACTAAGAATCATCCCTAAAAATTTGAAATTGATCTACCAAACAGTTCACCTGAAAACACGTAGACAAGACTTTACAGGCAAGATTTTAGCACGGAAAATCCAAAATGGCTGCCTTGACATTTACCCAGAATGCCAAAAAACTAATCAGATCTAGATTTTCATACTAAGAATCATCCCTAAAAATTTGAAATTGATCTACCAAACCCTTCACCTGAAAACGCGTAGACAAGACTTTACAGACAAGATTTTAGGACGGAAAATCCAAAATGGCTGACTTGACATTTACCCAGAATGCCAAAAAACTAATCAGATCTAGATTTTCATACTAAGAATCATCCCTGAAATTTTTAATTGATCTACCAAATGGTTCACCTGAAAGTGAAAACGCGTAGACAAGACTTTACAGACAAGATTTTAGGACGGAAAATCCAAAATGGCTGCCTTTACATTTACCCAGAATGCCAAAAAACTTATAAGATCTAGATTTTCATACTAAGAATCATCCCTGAAAATTTGAAATTGATCTACCAAACGCTTCACCTGGAAATGCATAGACAAGACTTCACAGACAAGATTTTAGGACGGAAAATCCAAAATGGCTGCCTTGACATTTACCCAGAATGCCAAAAAACTAATCAGATCTAGATTTTCATACTTAGAAGCATCCCTGAAAATTTGGAAATGATCTACCAAATGGTTCGCCTGAAAACGCATAGACAAGACTTTACAGACAAGATTTTAGGATGGAAAAATCCAAAATGGCCGACAATAAAAAAGTGATTATAAGTTTTTGCTGATTTCTTTTTACAAAATTAGCACATATAACTACTGTTAACAATAACATAGGCTTTTACAATAAAGTACACCTGAAATTTTTTATAAAGCTACTAAATAGTCTAAGTATGAAAACTCAAAAACACCATTCAATATGATACAAAGTATTATCGCACGCTAACTTTTCTTAAGACATTCAAAATGGCTGCCATGACTGGGCTAACAGGTCCAAAACCTAATCAGTTCTAGAATCAAGTGAGTTGAACAGGATGTTAAAGTTTTAAAAGCAACAGTGAAGCCATTTTTCAGACAAGGATTTTAGCATTTGACTTCAAAATGGCCGACAGGAAGTAGGTATCGAGTTGAAACTTTTTCGTCCACATCTGTATGCACTCATAAGTTATCCCTGAAAATTTGAAGGTGATATCTGTAGCGGTTTAGGAGAAAACTGCCGGACGTACGGACGGACAGACAGACAGACAAACAGACAGACGGACGGACGGACGCGCCTAGGCCGACAATATGGCCCCACACTATGGGGTGGGGACATAAAAATAAGTAAAAAGCAAGGGTACAATAATTTTCATTTGTACCTAAAAGTGAAAAATCGGAAAATAGATATAAGTCTAGCCTTACCCAAGTCGGTATTTTTTACTCATCCTGATCTTGAATTATTACCATAATAGAAATCAAGATAAGTAAAAGAGACCGATTTGGGCAAGGCTAATATAAGTCCTGCATGTCATGAATCCACATTCATCAATTAAACCAATTATCTCATTTTGATCTACCTTTTTTGATTTATTAATGCAGTTTCCATTCAATATAATTATTTTACAAATTACAGCTTTGCAATAAAACATGGTGACTACATAAACAATTATTCACAGGTCTTCAGGGAATAAGCATTGACGCAAATAAGTAGGAGATCAACTCCTTGTAATTTAGCTAAATTGATAGTTATACATAGATCCCTAATTGAAATGTGATGCGCCACACCTGAGCTTCCACTTTGAATAAGAGATAAGAAATTTAAACTTATCTGTTATTACGATGCAATAATATAATGATTAAAAACCTGGAAAGGTCTCAGAAAAATGCTGGAGGAACAGGAAATACGAGACAGCCAAGAATATAACATGATACAAGAAGGCATGTGCAAAATGTCACCACCTGCTTTTAGTAAGTACGCCAACCACCAAACGATTAATAAACTATTCTTGGACATTTTATGAATATCTACAGCTATTCAAGAATATCAATCAAATTTCCATGAACAGTAAAATTGAGTAAATCAAAAGTGCTGAATCAAACTATATAAAGTATTTACTTATTGGGTGTCCAGGATTTTTACTTGAATATATATATTCTACAACAATACTTGTTCATAGATGGTTAACATCAGTTACACAGGGGGAATTTCCAAAAGTACAGATAATTCCATACACTTTATTACAAACCTCAGACCTTCTGGTTTGAATAAATGATTGAGGTAATGTGAGAAATAATTGAAAAACGTGATATCCCAGACATTGATACATTGTCATAATGTTACTTGATTTATTGGGCTGATAAAACATTCTAATAGGCAAATATCTTTTACAAATGGTTTACAATAAATAAATCGAAAGTTTAAAGGCCCTATGTTTGAAAATATGTTTTTATCATTCATCTATTATTTTACATGAAGTTTTTTTAAAGGTTTTTGAGAAATATTTTTTTTGGACAAAAAAGTTTTTATTTCTCAAATATTCAAATTTTTCGCCATTTCTCAAACAAAAGTTGAAATTTCCTTATCATCAAATATTTCACGCTACAGTGTTAAACATATTAACTTTCTAAAACCACTGCGAAGATTGAAGGGACATATACTATTTCAACACTAAAATGTCATATCAAAAGTGCTATTATATTTAAATGGTTTAGTATATTTAAAAAAATTTGCACCCAAATATATGTGTTAGATAGATTTGAAATTTATTTTAATTAAATTCCTGATTTTTCTGACAAAAAAGTTTCACATTTCACATTTTGATAACACTGGGTAGGACTACATTATAAGACAACATGGTTTAAACTTTATATGGGGCCTTTAAAAGGAAGTAAAATATCAAAGGTAATGTCATGGATAATGTTTTATTATAACACCTTTAACAATAAAATTAATTTAGAGTCTTTTAGCAGATTGCAAAAATGTGACAATGTGCCAAATATCAGTTCTACAAGAGATGAGTTTGATGGATTTTATACATGGTGAAGCATGGGAATAGAAGAGAAATATGATGATGTTATACATAAGGCATAATTACCTGATTAAAATTTAATACTGGATTGATCTCATGGTATTTGTATTACCTGTATATTAATCATGTCTAAATATGAATTTACTAGAGTAAATGACACATCCGTTTTTTGCTTGCGATAAATTCTCAAAAAATCATCACATTCTCATAAAAACAGATTTGATCAAAGTTGTTCACAATAGATTTTACAATGACTATATCTTGCTTAAGGTGTGTCAGGCTTAATTAATTATCTGGCTGAATAACATGACATCACATAAATTCAGTTCTACAAATAATACCACCTTAAGAACTTACCAAAATAAAACTGGGATTGTTCTTGTTTCTCCAGCTAAATGAAGGCACAGTATATTCAGGAATGTGGTCTCTATGTAGTGTATAGCAACCATGATGAGTGTGGCCTGACAACACAAGTCTTGGATCTAACCAGTCTAATAGCTGAAAATAAATTAAAACTTGGACTTTCTTGACTTACTCCAGCTAAATGAGGGTACGGTGTATTTTAGAATGTGGTCTATATGTAGTGTAAAGCAATTATAATGTGTTTGGCTTGACAGCACACGTCTCGGTTATACAAAGGCACAATAAGCTGACTTTAATTTGTTTCATTATGAGTGACATCTTTTAATACACAGAGAATAAAAAGCTATGTAATATTTGAAAAATAATAATGTCTTTATATTCAGTGATTTATAAAATGAAGTCTGTTTGAAAAATATGAGATAATCAAAAACAATTGCAGGCACCTCATAAGAAGTTGGGCAATAGGTATGTAGGTGAATTGAGACTGATATACCATAGCTTTCAATTATTAAAAAAACAAAGTAAATGTGATTTTTATTCATCATTGAATATTTCTCAGATACATGAACAGAAATACATGTATACACGATATCCAGCTTCAACCAAATAAAGTTGAGTTGTGTTTGTTTATCATATGAAATTGCTATTTACACGATCTAAAATAAAAAAAAAAAATGAAATTGCTAGATTTAATACCTGGTTGGTAGACTCAGCAGAGAGGCAGTCATAGCGCTGTTTAAAGTGGTGGAAGCGCTCTCCCCCCTCCGCTGCATCCTCTCCGCTACAATTGCGGTCAGAGTCACGATACAAAGGGAAGTGCTGGAACATTAAATACAAATTATACATCATTCATAGGGTTTTCAATCATGCTGTTCAAAATTGAATCACATCTTTACTATGGTAGCCATGTTTATTTTTCTAGACATGGTGATATTGAGCTGGTCCAGATCCAAATTAACTGGCAAGTCACTGCAATGAGTAAAGACAGAGGGAGTTAAGCAGAGAATTGATACAAATATAATGTTACGCACAGTATGGTATATGTGAATTAATAAAGAAAGCGCTATATAGTTTACCTGTAGAATGATGACTTGGGAATCTGGTATGGCTTTTTCTTTCTCACATTCTTCAGTTGATATTCTACCCTGAAGATATGCAAAAAATATGTACAATAAGATTATCAAAATGCCTCATTTCTGTGTTGGTAACTTCTTAAGCCAAAACATATTTACATATTTGAATCATCTGTACTTTTCTTGAAAATTATCTTACCTGTAATTGTTCTATATTATTGATAAGCCACATACATGTATATTTAACTCCTGGCTCTTAATTTCAGTGAATTGGAACCTGCATCTGGCTCCATGGCTTCATACATAATATACGAGGGGTGATCCAAAAATCTTGGACGCCCTGCTCTAATTTTGTTTGTTTTTGATAAAATTACTTTAAACTTTCCAATGATAAAGACCAACAACCTAACTACTTTGTGTATTAATTTCATGGAGAAATGATATATTTTATGTAGTTTTCTAGATAGTTTTTAATATAGGGACCCTGCCACCCGGAACGGTATTCGCACATGGCAACTTTCATACCTGTGCACACTTCAAAGACTTTGAGATTTCTTTCAGTTTAGACTCTGCTTTCAGACACATATGGCAGCCATCTCCCTCCATCGCCATACTGTTGACGAGTATAAAATTACTGCCATCTATAGTGATATGTTCCACTGAGGATGTGTTAAAACCCTCTGTAAACCTGTGCACTTTATGCTTATTGGTTCTGAAAGAAAAATATTACAATTACTTTGAATAACCAACCAATATATGTATTTTTATTCTTTATAAAATATTGAAGCACATGAGGAACATTCTTGACAGTAATGAGAAATGGAGAGGTGTGTTTATTATATATACCTTAAGAGTAAGACCCCTTAGACTACATGTAAGCATCTGGCCCCTGAGGGGTACATATAAGAATACAGTTTTTTTTAATCTTAATGACCTCATTTAAATAACTACTATGGCATTTCTTTGCAGATTTTATACTCAAATGAGTCTTACGCAAAATGAAACCCAATGTCATGGTTGCCTATAGCAACAAAGAGTTGTGTGGTGGAAGGATGACGGAACATCTTATGGAATCTCTGCACGTGCTCTGTGAATTCTGCATCACTACACCACTTTCCTTCATCTAAGATATCACCTGGAAAAAGCAACACCATTTTAGATGTTTCTTTTTATCAAGGGGAGGGGTAGATAATGTACAATACAAGGAACCCTGTATTTATATTTCTTCTAAATTTTATTAGGGAGAGAGGTGTAAATGACAATTCTGTAAAAATATTGATTTTTTCAAAATTCAAATGGAAGGCAAATCAAGATTTTCAAGTTCTGTTAAATGGTGGAAGGGATGGGGGGGGGGGTGAAATCATCATGAAATTACTTCATTTGGAAACCATCCCTAGGTTGTTTTGAATCAATTAAAGCATTGATGAATACCAGTTGGTGTCACAACACAAACTACAAGGCCTGAAATCTCTATCTCAATAAATATTTTGTATTGCTAAACAGTAAAAATGACTTACCTAAAATGAAGACCGCAGTGGGATTGTGGATTGACATGGAAGTCTGGAATGTTCTTTCCATTTGCCACTCTCTAGAAAAAATAAAAAATCTATTTATTTAATGGAACTTGGTTCTCCATCTTTTATCGAACAAAGCACATTTAGTTTAAGAAGGATTTAAGAAATTTATTTACTTCAATAAAAATGCCACATTAATATATTAAATATTCAGAAAATTTACTTGGTTTGAAAGAAGTTTGTTGAAAAAAAATTGAAGTAAAATTGTCCTATCCATGATTTTTTCTCAAATGTATCCAGAATTCTTATTTTTTTAAATTTAGACCACATTTGGTTAACTATGCCTATTTTCATGTTTTGTCTCATTTCCAAGGAGGTGCAAATGGATTCTCAGGAAGGTACAAGCCTGTTTTTAAAATCACAAATGGGTACAGCACCCTATGCTTCAATTCTAGTAAGAATACTAATATACATATGTACAAGTGTGTATGAATTTAACTGTTACATAGTAATTACTAAACTCTGGCTGAATTACCTTCTTATAAAACACCAATGATCTTACCTTCTAAGTTTATCAAACCAATGTCCCTGCCTTGATCCTAGTAAATGTGTGTCTGCTAGCACCATTGCTTTAATCACACCATTCTGAGAGCCATCTATCAATGGCCATGTGCACTGTAGAAGCACGATATAGTATATGAGGAACTCACAGAAAAACAGCAGGCCTATGAGTAATAATACAAAAATACCTAGTTCTCCCCGTGTAGGTACCATACTTCGCATTATTAAGCGTACTCTATACATGTGTGCTAAGGGCAAAGAATCCTTTCCCTCAGATAAGTCCAAAAACAACTGTCAATTCTGTGTGCATCTAGCACTGGAGAGCTCATTACAGTTATTATCTGCAAATAAAATATTATTATTATTATTTTATTTATTTATTTATTTTTATAAATAAATCTTTATTTTCACATATTATTTTTTACAGGTTATTAATGTTGTTTACTGTAGGAGAGAGAGAGAGAGAGAGAAAGGAAATAAAATATTATTAATAAATTTATTATTTGCAAACATTAATCTGGCAGCATGCATACATACATGTGTGACAGATAATCTTTTGGGTTAAAACCAACCTATTCCATCTATTACATAAACCCTACATGTATCATGTATGTGTACAGATACTGTCTGCAGATTATTGTTTTATATTTACTTATCAAGATTAAATTCAGAATAAGCACTACAAAACACACAGAGAACTATTTACATATGATTTGTATCATATTAGTAGTAGATTATACACAATAAAACATTACAAATCATATGTAAATAGTACTCTGTGCTACAAAAATCTCATACATGACTCAGTCAGTTCAAGACACTGGCTGTCATACTTAATTCTATATCAATTTCTGGTCAATTGAAAAATTTTGCAATTTCACATGTGATTAGCCTGTGAAAGATACTCAGATAGCAGAATCCTTTAAGACATAAAAATGATTAAGTGAACAAATGAGGATGCTTAGTCTTTTTCTAGAGCTCCTGAAATTACAGATTTTCCCTGGGGGCAAATTACGTGCTAAGACAACTAATAAATACATGTACTGCTTTCATGATTGATTCCAAAGAAAATACACCACAGAAGTATTGATGTATTGTCAGGTTTAGAAGATTCTTGAAGGAAATAAATATTTCCACCTTGTTCCTCACAAATTGCCTCACGTGGAATCTTTTATACAGTTACCTGTAATAGTATACAGCAGACTTGATATAAGGAAAAATGAATTTGGGAATAGAATTGTAAACACATGGAATAATCTTCCCCAATCCGAAATAGACACTACAAATATAAATTAATTCAAGAGTGGAATTGATACATGTAAGCACCTGATAAGACTGAAATTTCTTCACCACAACTAAACCCATTTCCAGTAAGCAATAAACAACACACACCACTGACTAATTAAGGTTCAGCTGGAAAGCAACATTTTGGTAAAAAATTGCCATACCTGCACATGTTATTTTCTGGTACAAAATTTTGTATGAAGGCATGTGTGTATTTCCTTGCTTTTTTCAGGAAAGTATCATTACACTGTCTACTTTAAGTAAACCTGGAAACAGGTCAATGGTAGCTCTTGTGTTGTCCGGAAACTTTGAAAGAAAATTTGGAAAAATAGAAAGTGCGAAATATCAGAATTTCCTGCAGTTCCCATTGAACTCCTACTAGATATTCTTAAAGAAGACAATGTAATGATACTTTCCTGAAAAAAGCAAGGCAATTGACACATGTCTTCATACTTTGTTTTGTACCAGAAAATAACATGTGCTGGTATAGCAATTTTTTACCAAAATGTTACTTTCCAGCTGAACCTTAATTAGTCAGTGGTGTGCGTTGTTTATTGCTGTACCTTAAGGTCTCATGGAAGTTAACAGGAAGTGACAAAACAAAAAATGACAAAGCCATGCTGGATTTTGAAAATTTTTTGAACCAAGATAACAGAGTTCTGTTTGGACCTCCAGTCAGTTTAACTAGTTCCACATATTATTTACATGACCAGGAACACAGTTGAAATGGTCAGAATGACCATAAACATGATAGAATAACCTTTTCAGCCCTCTGAAAATGTGACTAAAAAATAGCTAAGAGTAGGTGCTCAGGAAAGGTCACTGAACAGAATATTTTGACTTTTTCAGAAAATGTGCCCAATATATTGCTCTAAATGATACAATTCAAAAAAATTTGATATCATTCTTAGAAAAAGAAAAAATTTAAAAAAACTGAATTGAAAATCGATCTATTTTCCTTTTTACTACAGCCATTATTGTTTCAGACGATTTTTTAAAATTTCAAAGATTGTGTCATTTAGAGCAATATATTGGACACATATTCTGAAAAAATCAAAAGATTCTGTTCATTGACCTTTCCTGAGCACCTACTTTTAGCTATTTTTCAGCCACATTTTCAGAGGGCTAAAAAGGTTATTTTATCATGTTTATGGTCATTCTGACCATTTCAATTGTGTTCCTGGTCATGTAAATGATATTTGGAACTAGTTAAGGTCTCATGGAAGTTAACAGGAAATGACAAAACAAAAAATGACAAAGCCATGCTGGATTTTGAAAATTTTTTGAACCAAGATAACAGAGTTCTGTTTGGACTTCCAGTCAGTTTAACTAGTTCCACATATCATTTACATGACTGGGAACACAATTGAAATGGTCAGAATGACCATAAACATGATAAAATAACCTTTTCAGCCCTTTGAAAATGTGACTGAAAAATAGCTAAAAGTAGGTGCTCAGGAAAGGTCAATCAACAGAATCTTTTGATTTTTTCAGAAAATGTGTCCAATATATTGCTCTAAATGACACAATCTTTGAAATTTAAAAAAATTGTCTGAAACAATAATTGCTGTTGTAAAAAGGAAAATAGATCGATTTTCAATTCAGTTTTTTTTAATTTTTTCTTTTTCTAAGAATGATATCAAATTTGTTTAAATTGTATCATTTAGAGCAATATATTGGGCACATTTTCTGAAAAAGTCAAAAGATTCTGTTCAGTGACCTTTCCTGAACACAGACTCTTAGCTATTTTTTAGTCACATTTTCAGAGGGCTGAAAAGGTTATTCTATCATGTTTATGGTCATTCTGACCATTTCAATTGTGTTCCCGGTCATGTAAATGATATGTGGAACTAGTTAAACTGACTGGAGGTCCAAACAGAACTCTGTTATCTTGGTTCAAAAAATTTTCAAAATCCAGCATGGCTTTGTCATTTTTTGTTTTGTCATTTCCTGTTAACTTCCATGAGACCTTAAACTGACTGGAGGTCCAAACAGAACTCTGTTATCTTGGTTCCAAAAATTTTCAAAATCCAGCATGGCTTTGTCATTTTTTGTTTTGTCATTTCCTGTTAACTTCCATGAGACCTTAATAGGACACAATAATAAAATATAAAAAGATCAGGATCATACAGGACTACCCTTCTTTCCAGAAACAGGATACTGAGATGAAATTGATGTGATGGGTACCAGAGACTAAGCGTGGAGGAGATCCATGATTCCTGCGCAAATGTAAGTACAGTACTGGGTGTACATGTATTCAATTTCAGAAGTTATGTGGGTGATAATTGATAATAAATTGAGTACCTACTGCATTTGAATCAATTTGTTGTCATTTACAAGCTGAAGAGTCCCTGTCTGATATCGAAACAAAGCTTCCTTTGAAATAATTGCAATTATTCTTCACTATGATGCGATTTTTCACATATAATTGTTCAAAACATTTAGAATTTTGATTTTTTGTTTTTTTCAAAAAAGTGAATTCTCGGGGTAATACTAAATACCACCTAGGTGTCCCGCACCTAGGTGCCCCCACCTGGGGACACCTAGGTGTCCCCTAGGGCACCTGGATTTTTAGACTACTGATTAACGATGTTTTAGTGAAGGAAACTCTTTGAAACTTTACAGTAAATTAAAAGGCTTTGTAAATATTTCGTTGGTTGATAAATTAATACGAGTCTGACATTGTATAGCATGAAAAAAGTGTTAAGAAGAGGGCTTCGACGAGAAAAAATAATATGGCCGCCACTTGGGTTTACGAGTGGTCGTGTATGGTCGAAATACATAATGTTTAACGACGATATGCTTAATAAATTTGCTCACAATACCGAAATATTATCCACAAAAGTCACGAACTAGTATTTCTTGCGAAATTATGTTGCATAATGAGGTTAATCGACGGTCATAATATCACGGGATGTCATCGCCTGATTTGGTCAATGTTAGGGAGCAGGTCGTTTTTACAATAAATTTCAATATTTTCACACAAAATATTTTTTTACTGAAAAACTGCTCATTCGCAGAGAAAATGTACTAGCACATGCAATGACAATGTCAATCACGCTTCTGTACTAAATTCGGCGGAAGTCTTTTATAATCTAATACGAAGTTACTAAAAAAGGCGCGAACGCCCTACACTCAAAATGATCGTTTTTCCATTATAACTTTTTAACGTAATTTAACGAAGGCTTCTAATTATTATCCAAGATAGTCTAAATACCGATTAAATTATTTCTTACTTCAAACAGATACGCCATCTTTTATTCAATTTTTTAAAAAATAATAAAAAATAACTCTTGTCAATGTTAGGGAGCAGTCAATGTTAGGGAGCAAAATGATTTTATCAGAATATTAAAAATGTACCAAATGGCCATTTAAAATATGTATGGCATTTATAAACTGAACAATTTTGTTTGTATGATTATTTGATACCCTTTGCCTTTGGGGAGGAAAGCGTTAAAATTGTAAGAAAATCATTGAAAATAAAAAATGCAAAATAACCTTTTCAATGATTTTCTTACAATTTTAACGCTTTCCTCCCCAAAGGCAAAGGGTATCAAATAATCATACAAACAAAATTGTTCAGTTTATAAATGCCATACATATTTTAAATGGCCATTTGGTACATTTTTAATATTCTGATAAAATCATTTTGCTCCCTAACATTGACTGCTCCCTAACATTGACAAGAGTTATTTTTTATTATTTTTTAAAAAATTGAATAAAAGACGGCGTATCTGTTTGAAGTAAGAAATATTTTAATCGGTATTTAGACTATCTTGGATAATAATTAGAAGCCTTCGTTAAATTACGTTAAAAAGTTATAATGGAAAAACGATCATTTTGAGTGTAGGGCGTTCGCGCCTTTTTTAGTAACTTCGTATTAGATTATAAAAGACTTCCGCCGAATTTAGTACAGAAGCGTGATTGACATTGTCATTGCATGTGCTAGTACATTTTCTCTGCGAATGAGCAGTTTTTCAGTAAAAAAATATTTTGTGTGAAAATATTGAAATTTATTGTAAAAACGACCTGCTCCCTAACATTGACCAAATCAGGCGATGACATCCCGTGAATATATCAACTTATGATTTATAAATGTGTACAGGTCACATAGACTACAGTGTAGGCCTATAAGAGTCATTTCCGATTCGATTATGTCAGTCAGTGTGTATATTAAACATAGCAAATTGTTGTTGCGATTGTTCATTTTAACACAGTAACACAAGGTTTACAATTTTATGATCGTCTCAGCCAAGACCCATACCAGAAATTGCACTTTGCCAATGGATACCAATTATCCACATGACATTAGAATAATGAGGCCTGAATGATGACTATAATAATCATAGTTCAAAATCCATATTATTTTGTTAGAATGACTACACACCATTTGTCCAAATTCAGATTGGATTCAGATTTGGACCAATGGAATTTGGCCTCAGATGATTCGGACTAATGGGATTCGGACAATTTGGATTTGGATGATTGGGATTCAGCAATTGCGATTCGGACCCGGGGGGTTCACTGTATATAAAACTTGACGGGGGTCCTAGGCTGAAGCCTCAAATATCAATATGTTCCCATACCAATCTGTCAAATTTCAATATGTTCCCATACCAACCAAAATAACGCCCAAAGGCCATACCAAATGTCTGAATGTCTAAATATAGGACCAATGCCATACCAAATGTCCAAATATAGGACCAATGCCATACCAAATGTCAAATTGTGGGACCAATGCCATACCAAATGTCAAAATGTAGCACCAATGCCATACCAAATGTCCAAATATGGGACACATTTTTCCCATAGATTAAATCCTCATGGGGCCTATGGGGAATCTCCCCGAACTAGAAATCACATTTTCCCCATAGATTAAATCCTCAAAGTTGATAAGCAATTTTCAAAACCATATTTCTAGATGTACTTTAACATGTAGATTTCAGACATCACTTTGACTGAATTATGAATATTTAATGACGTAAGTATGGAGAATGGACAAAATATTATAAATATTGGAAAACATAACAGAACAACATAAACAGAGTGCATATATATTTTAGGACACCCTGTATGTTAAATACTGATCAAGTGCACTATAAGATGAAATTCACAGGTAAGGATTCACAAACATTTTAAGTGGTATGCAGTGGTTCCTAAAAACAATATTGACTCAAGATCTTTTTGTGTGTATAAATGAACTTTATTAGGAAAACTTGTTTTCTACATTCCACTTGTATTTTTAAATGATAAAAAATAATGAAATAAAACATTGAATATTTAAACAACATAGTTGCATGTACATAATAATTAGATGTTAAGATTAAACCAGGCTAAGCATGATTAACATTGATATTATCAAATTTGCATTTTCCCCTACCCCTAATGAGATGCCAACAAATCTACAAGTCAATTATTTCACAAAATAATGACATAAGACATTGAATATTAAAACAAGATGGTTTCATTTACATAATATATTAGATTTGATTTGATTTGAAAACTATATTTATTCTGGGTAGCTCTATCAGTACAAAACTGGTCTTCCTAGAGGCCCAGTGATAATTTACAATTATTAACAATATGTACAATAAATATATAAACATACAAATAGATATATAGGACATATAGAACAATTTGATATATATGCATCTTCAAAGTATGCATTTACATTTAACATAGAGAACTACTTACAAGAGAATTACATGAATAGGAACAATGTCTTTAAATAATGCATTTACATAATTTTCATTTTCTGATCTGATACACTTGTTAAAGATTAAACTAGTTTTAGCATGATATCAATGACAATATTGAAATTTTGTGTTTTCCCCTACCCCTAACAAGATGCCAAGAAAACTATTATTTCACAAAATAATGCCATAAGACATTGAATTTAAACAAGATGGTTTCATGTACATACTATATAAGATGTTAAAGATTAAACCAGTCTAAGCATGATTTCAATGACAATATTAAAACTACATTTTCCCCTACCCCTAACAAGATGCCAAGAAAACTACACGTCAATTGTGTGTGTATGTATATATTTATTGCCCTTTATATAAAGGAGATACATGTATACAAATTATGTTAAATTGAAAATAATCGCTATTTACAAACAAACAATGTTGTTGCTTTTTAACTGACGACGACGCCTAGCTACCGCGTAGACGCACGCCGCCAACCAAGATGGGCCTAGCACCTAATTGTAACGCAATTATAAAAAAGTAACTATATTTTACAAACGCTCATTGCTTTGTTTGTTTTTGGGTTTTTTTGAACCGACGACGACGCCTAGCTACCGCATAGACGAACGCCGTAGGCCTAAATAGACCTGTTACCTAACACTCTTGAGATTAATCAAAAAATGACATTATGGAGCTGCATTTTCTATAAAATCAAAAAGAAGACATAGCATATCATCGTACCTTCCCCAAGGTCGGTACTGCAGTACTGTATGAAAGTATGAGATGCTTTTAATATGTTGTAGGCTAGTAAAATAAATTTACAATTTATGTAAATTAAAGGTTGGTGGTGTTGCTATATGGTGCAATTCTAAATTAGTATGTATAGTAAATGTACATAAATATAAATACAATTCTTAAAATCGCGGATTCGGTAGTATTGAATCTCTAATAAAGATGGCGCGAAAGTTTTTCCTTATAAGGTCAAAATATTTCCCATGATGCAGTTCGCGGGGGAACAAAATTTTTCTACCTTGTTTTTCCCCGTTGGTTTAACATGGGGATTTTCATACCCATTTTTCAAGCGATATTTTCGATCGAATCTCCATGCGATCGGAGAAAACAAACTATCAGAAACAATTAGTCTTTTAATAATCTTTATATAACATATATTTTTTTTCATTTTATTGGCTCCTAACGGGGTGAAAACAATGATTGAAAATGGGAGTATATTCCGGAAGAGAAGAAGTCACGTGACTAGTCGCCATATTGGAAAAAGCAATTCCATTCGACTTTCAACACGTTCATGCCAATATTACCGCACTACAAACTGTAACATCGATGCAACAACTGAATAAAAGTACTCATCTTCATATTACATTATAGAGTTACGTTGAAAACCCACAAACAACTGAGCATTTGACCAAAGAAGACACGTCGCTATTATCTAGGTCAAGTTTAGTGGTTCGAAAGCAAATCTTACATACTCGTTTCCGAATTTTGTTGTTAATTGTATAATCTTTTATTGATTAAATCTGGTATACTGACTATTAATTCAATGACAAAGAAGAAGAATTCCGATGGTGTCATTTTTTTATTTAGCTTGCGGGTGTAAAAACAAAATTGCGTAATTAATTTGATTTAGAACTTTCGGGTCTCACAAATAGCTACACGAAATGCATCGTTGAAAAATATTGACCAATCAAATTTTGTCCTTTTTGAGTACATATATGCACCATATATGCGAACGTTCTGATTCAAAGAGCGAACAGCGAAATGGAGAATTATTTCACAAAAT